TTCGTTAGGGTTCTTACCTTGTACTTTCTTCTGTAAATATCAGAGACGGTGGCGTGAGAGAGAAGAACATTGTGCGCAACAATGTAAGGCTCAGTAGCAGAGTTTCCACTCCGACACAGAAAATGGAGAAGAATGGAGCAGCGCCCCGGCGCCTGGAGACCGACATCATAGCCCTGAGTAGCGAATGTATGCGGTTCGTTGAAGGTGATCCAATGCTTCACTCGATCGCCGAACCTCTGGAAGCACGTCTCGGCGAAAATCGCGAAATCATTTCTGCAATTTCCAAGTTACGAATTGAAATGGATACAGAAAAGGATCGGGATGGGGATGAAGATTAGGGTTTAGGGATTTACATGATCTGGGGGCTGAGCCAGCCATTGTATTTGTCTTCCAGAGCTTGCGGAAGGTCCCAGTGATAGAGAGTGACATAGGGTTCGATTCCTGGTTGAAGAGAGTGTTGGAGGATTCAAAAACCATTGAATTTGAATGAGATTGAAAGTATGGGGAAATGGGTGTTGAAGAAGAAGATGAAGTTGAATGAGATTGAAAGTATGAGGAAATGGGTGTTGAAGAAGAAGATGAAGAACATTCATACCGTTGGCTAACAAAGCATTGATGAAATTGTTGTAATGATCAACTCCAGCTTCGTTGATCTCTCCACTTCCATCTTCACACAACCAAATTCACATCACACCTTATTTCTTTGTTTCCGCAATGAATTCATAATTCCTCAAAAAATTTCTTTAAAATTCCCACCAAAATTTAACCCACTAACTTTTAGAGCGACTCTCCACGATCTCATGGCTTTGCTTTCGATTCCCAAAAGGGTTCATAACAATCGTCTCCCCTTAATTGAGGCTCGACCTCATACCAATGAAGAGAGTATTATATCATTCCCTAAATTAGGGGATGTCCGACTTTCAAAGTACGCCTCCCTTAATCGAGGCTCGACCTCATACCAATGAAGAGAGTATTATTTGATTATAGACCCATGATCATTCCCTAGATTAGCCAATGTGGGACTTTCATCATCCAACACCTCCCCTCGAACAAAGTACGCCTCCCCCTAATTGAGGCTCGACTCCTTTTATTTTGAAGTCCTTTGTTCGACATTTGAGAATTTACCAATCTATTGACACGACTAAGTTTAGGGCATGTGATACCATGTTAGATGAACACGACTCTCCACAATGCTATAATATTGTCCACTTTGAGTATAAGTTCTCATGACTTTACTTTGGGCTTCCCCCAAAAGGCCTCGTACCAAGAGAGTATTATATAAGTTCTCATGGCTTTGCTTTGAGCTTCCCAAAATGTCTCATACCCATGAAAGATTATTATTTGATTATAAACAAGTTCGTACTTTCATTGTCCAATAAATTTAAAAAAAAAAAAAAAAAAAATTAAAATGTAATTTAGTTTTTTCTTATAAACTAATTATAAAATAAGAAGGGGAGAGAGAGAGAATTACTTGGGAAGATTCGAGACCAGGCAATGGAGAATCGGTAGGCATCCATACCCATATCCTTCATCAGTTTAATATCTTCCTGTTTCCATTATTATTATTTTTTATTTATTTTCTTAATTCTTCTAAATAACATTTAATAATTTAAATTATTAAGAAAATACGGTTACCGGATAACGGTGGTACTGGTCCACTGCCACATCTGCATTGCTAAAATCAACTACCTTTCCTGCACCATTTCATAAATAATATAATTACAAAAATTTAAACTTTTAAAATATTATACTAAATTTTACACACACAAAAAAAAAAAAAAAACTTAAATATTAAGATTTATTTTTATTTAATTTTCCCAATATTTTCTTTAAAATGAATAAAAAATAATTACCAAATGAATGGGAAAATTTGTCCCAAACTGTGGGTCCCCTTCCGTCCTCCTTCACGGCTCCTTCGAACTGTGTTCACATACATATATATATTAATTTCAAATTTATAATAGCATATTATTTACGATAAGTAAATAAATAAATAAAGGAACCTGAAAAGCAGAGGATGCAGTTCCGAAAACAAATCCGCTCGGAAAACCGCTTCTGGTAATCTGCGCGGAACAAATCTGAAACCCTAACACCACCATTACCACTGCCAAACCGACGCCAACGGCGGCGCCTCTTCCTCCGGCAACCATCGCGGCAAGATTTAGGAATTCGAATAGTCGAGATTTGGTGTATGCCTCGGAGAAGTGAAAGAAAAAAGCAGAGAAAGAGAGAGAAAGTGGAGAGAATTTGAAGAAGTGGAGAGAGAATGTGAAATGGAAGGGCGCGAAGAAGTCGGTAGTGACGGTGGCGACGGTGGTGAAAGGGCGTCAAAAAGAAAAGAATCGGCCGCCTTTTTAAAATCGGGAGCACTACAGCCTTTATGTGGAAATCCAACTCAGGACAAGTCCCTCAGTTCACACGCCTTCCATTCATTTTATATATTTTTTTTCCCTTTTTTTTTAGTTTTTAATTTTTTAATTTTTTTTGCTGGGTTGGGAAGTTTTCAATTTTTTTTAAGTATTATTTATCCACAATTTATAATTATTCGAACACAATCTTAGATAAAATATATTAAAAGTTCACAAACAAACATGATCTATAATTATTCACATGAAAATAAATAAATAAAAAATAACAAGCGAAAATTATAACATATTAAACATTGTCATAAAACTGAAGAGAGTTAAATATGGACCGGCGTTTCTTAGTAATGGGTTAAAGTAAGAAAAAAAATATAAGGATTGATTATCAAATTAAACAAACAATAAAAATGATTGATTTAAATATATTGTATATAACAAAAAAAAAATACTATAATATATTTTAATGATATAGTGGACTGTTGCATAACATATTAAAAAATAATATAAAAAAAATTAATGAAGAGAGTTAAATACCGACATATCTTATTAATGGGTTAAATAGAAAAATAATCAAATTAAATAAATAATAAAAATGATTATGATATATAACAAAAAAAAATTATAAAATATTTTAATGGCATATTAAAAAATAATGTAAAAAAATTAAACAAAATAATAAAAAAATATTAAATTTGGAGGTCTATAAATTTTGAAAAAAATTAAAATATCAAAGGTTAAGTTTATAATTTTAGAAAGCTTAAAATTTCGGAAAGATTTACATAATTAAATAGAAAAAATTCAAAATATTATTAAAAAAATCGAACAAAAAAAATTAATGTTTGAGAATATTACGTCATCTAATTTGTACACGTCATGGACAAAAGTCCAGGTGGGCAATGACTCCACTCCATCTGGAAGGGAAAAATTTCTGGGTTTCCCTGTCATCTTCTGCCACGTTGGCACTCGCATGTATTGCGCGTGAGATTATCATTTGTTCCTCTCCTTCACAAACGCCCACTAAAATAACAATATTAATAATAATAAATTCAAATCACAAATCATGTATGACAATTCGAGAGTGTTCTACACGTACAGCTAATGGTGGATGACACGCTTTATTTTAGCTCACGTGCCAACCATTTATTTTTTAAATTTTAAATTAATAACAAATTTATAGTATTTAGTTTATAAACTTCAAATAAATAAATAATATATACATATATAATAAATCTTTGATGGATTGGACATTTTTTCAAAAAATTAATGAACTTAATTTTTTAATATATCAAGTTGTATATTTCTTTATTAATTAATTTTATTTTTTAAATAAATATATAGTTTAGTTTTATATAATTAAGTTGGAATATCTTTTTCATATTACAAAAATTAAAAAATAAAATCATACCTTGAGGGGAATGTGAAGAAGAGTAGAAGGAACGAGTTGTACACTTTCGTATCAATTCTTTTCCAACACTCTTACGTCCTTTCCTCTTACTGCGCTCTTCTTTGAGGTCAATTAAACGAGAAAAATGCTTGATATGGAAGTAGACTCAAATTCGAACAGGGTTAAGATCGATTAGGACTCGAGCCCAACCGACCATACCCAAGATTCAATTGGGCCACGAGGAAGCAAAATTATGGTGCAAAAGCCAACTTGGTCACCTCGGACAAGGTCAAAGAGATTGAGACCTAAGTGGCTCAATTTCTTCCCAACGGTTCTTCAAGTGTGTCACCTCTAGCCCGAAAAACTTTGAGAGGTCAAGTCCAACTACTTTGAGTCCAATTATAGAGGAAGAAAATATATAAAAAACTCAATCGAGGCAAGTGCCAGTCGAATGCATACTATCAAATCAAAACTAGGGGTGTACATTCAACTCGACAACCCGAACCAACCCAACCCAAACTACAAGGGTTGGGTTGGGTTGGATTAGCATTCAGTTCGGTTTGGGTTCGTGGGCAAAACCCTCGAGTTGACCCAAGCCAAATTCAAATAATATAAAATATATTAAGAACTCTTTGTACTCGAGTGAGTTTCAAAAGTCATTGTTAGCTGAACATAGCTCTCCATAATGGTACGATACTGTCCACTTTGAGCATAAAGTCTCGTGGTTTTGCTTTAGCCTTTTCCAAAAGATCTCATTCCTATAGAAATAATATTCATTGATTATAAACGCACCATCATTCCCTAAATTAGTCAATGTGGGACTTTCATCCAACAATTATGTAAAGAACGTGCAAATCAAACATATACACCCCGAGCAAATTTGTTTTATAATTTAGGTCAAAATAATACCTACTTTAATTTCACACAATATTTTAATTTAATAATATTATAATTCATTATTTTCCAATATTTATTAAGAACCATTTGAATGTTAAAGGTTCAATGATGGGTGGGTTTGATGATTTATTTGATTATTAACGAAAAAATGTAATAATAAAACCAAAGAAACATATGTAACAACATGTTATAAATTAAAATAAATGCTTAGAATAATTATTTGGTCTGCCAATATTAAATAAATTTATTAGCATCTAAATAAATTAATTTCATCAAATAATCCAAATATTAGGAATTTCTTAAATTACTATTAATTAATTATAATTAACGAGCGTAATTTATTTGTGTTCATAATTTAGGGGTGGACCTTAATTGATAGCCCAAAGGTTCCCGCCGTTCTGGGCCGACGATTAAGTAAAGTTCTCTCTTAAATATCAATTAATTGAAATTTCCAAACCCAAATTCGCAGCTGCTAGTTGAGAAATGGAAGACGAAGAAGATCCACCACTTGCTGTTGAGATCGGCGAAACGATTACGGCTGCCGAGCGGCATGAAGATGATGGTGTTTCTGTCGGCGTTACTGTTATCACCGGATATCTTGGAGCTGGAAAATCCACCGTAAATTAGCCTATGAATATTTTCCACTTACTTATCGCTTGAATTTTCTTTGCACTCATCGAATTTGAGCTATAGAATGATGTTTTTTTGTTTTTTGTTTCTTGTTTGGTTGTATTTAGCTGGTTAATTACATATTGAACTCGCAACACGGCAAGAGAATCGCTGTTATACTGAATGAGTTTGGTGAGGAGATTGGAGTGGAGAGAGCGATGATAAATGAAGGTGATGGTGGGGCGTTGGTTGAGGAATGGGTCGAATTAGCAAACGGATGTATTTGTTGCACTGTCAAGCATAGCCTGGTTCAAGCCTTGGAGCAACTCGTGCAGAGAAAAGAAAGGTATTCTATTATTATTATTACATCGGATTTCTATGGAGCTTTTGTGAAAAATACGTTGATGATTCAGTCATTCTCGCTTGTATCTAGGCTCGATCATATTTTGTTGGAAACTACGGGGTTAGCCAATCCTGCTCCACTTGCTTCGGTACTTTGGCTGGACGATCAGTTGGAATCATCGGTCAAGCTTGATTCAATTATTACAGTCAGTTCTTAGTTCTAATTTCTTCACTGCTTGAGTTAGCTTCGCCAGTTTTATTGTTGATTACGGATTATAGTTTGCGAATGTTTGTGAATTTCATGCTATAGTTCTCGAGTAAGTTCTACGATGCGCCATATTTGCTGTTTAACTGAGATTAATCTTCCTCTTAATTCGAGTGTAAGTTCTATGTTGTGGATTATTGAAAGGAGTAGTCCCATATTGGCTAATTAAGAGGAAGATCATGAGTTTACTTATAAGTAAGGAACACTATCTCCATTGGTATGAGGCTTTTTGGGGAAACCAAAAGCAAGCCATGAGAGCTTATGCTCAAAGTGGACAACATCATACCATTGTAGAGGTTCGTGGTTCCTAACAAACTACATAATTATAATTGGCGAATGTTTGTGATTTCATGCTATTGTTCTTGAGTGTAAGTTCTATGATGCGTCATATTTGATGTTTAATTGAGATTAAGATAGCCATTGAAGCTTAAGTTTTCCCCTCGTAGTCAGGCTAAGTGTATGCCTTTCGTCTTTACGTAGATGTCTAATTCTCTTTCTCCTTCCTGTCCATGTGTGGATGCATGATGTAGGAAATGCTTGAATGCTTAGAGTTAGTTTGATATTCTTTTTCTTATAATCTAAAAGTTTCACCCAATGTAACTCTTTTTTTTTTCCTTTGGATGAATTCGTGCTAGTAGGTTGTGGATGCGAAAAACCTTCATTTTCAGTTAAATGAGCACCGAAGTTCATCATCCTTTCCCGAAGCATTTTATCAAATTGCATTTGCGGTAATAATCTTAGTTCATTTATGGTTTTTGCAATTTTGTACTCGGTACTATTAACTATGTCTAGCGTTGCATCTTATGCAAAGCTGCGGGGATCCTCATTATTTATCATTTTTCATCCATTATTACTTCGTATTTTCTTTTGTGTTGATTCCTTCTCTTTTGCTATATGGTTTCTCAATAATTGTTCAGTGTGTACTTAAGAAGGTTGTGAATTTGTTCTCCATCATAGGATACCATTATTCTTAACAAGGTCGACCTGGTCACTTCAGAACGTGGTGACGGTGCATTGGAGGACCTGGAGTTCGAAATACGTAACATTAATTCCCTTGCCAAAATCATTCACTCTGTTCGGTGTCAAGTTGACCTGTCTCTGATACTAAATTGCAATGCCTATAATGCTGCTGTAAGTCATGAACTTATTTTTATCACCCAGTTAATTTTCTATTTCTGGACCAGTCCTGATCTGATACTATTTAGGTTTTTTACCGTTTAGAATACAGCTCATTTAGAAGAATTGTTGAAAGAAAGCCGTTCACTATCGACTAAGGATCTTCATGATACCGGTGTTCGAACCTTATGCATTAGTTATCATGACAAAGTCGACCTGGATAAGGTAGCATTCTGAAACTCTGGTAGCTATTTGACCTTTATTAAAAACTAACAGACTCAAGGACCAACTAATTTCTAGAGACAAATTGTGTATTTCCATTAAAAACTGCGTGGTTCCATTCGACTTCTGCATCTTGGAGTTCTGCGATGTTGGTTTGGTGTATCATCTATGTTGTTACTTGTGCTGAATTCTTGTAACATCCTGATCATGGATTTGGTGGATTACTCTAGTTTAAGTTTCTTATGCATTTAAACTTTCCATGACCTGAAGTGTGTCTACAACTAAGAGGAAGGGTGAAAATGTGGTTTGTCAAAAGTAACATTAAATCTTGTCAAGATTGATCTATTACTGTTTAGTTATACATTTCTGTTTAACCTGAAAATCCATTGAAGTAATAAAATTGTGAACTTGGATCAATTTAACTAAGTATTTAACTTTAAAGGTGATTATATCGATCACCCATCTCTACTATGAACATGAGAATTGAAGTAGGTACAACTCAAAAAAGAAAGGAACATAAAGTATTTCGAGACGAATGGGTTTGTATGTGCTGTTCTCATCCCTGCCTTATCTTCCAACAGGTTCGTTCTTGGCTCGAGGAGATACTTTGGGATAGAAAAGGTGGCATGGATGTCTATCGTTGCAAAGGAGTCTTAAGCATAAAAAATTCTGATCAACTACATACTTTGCAGGTAGATTATGTGTTTAAGATTACCTGGTCTAAATGTTCATTAGGACTATATTTGTATTTGTTTAAAAGAATTGATAATGACAGTTAGAAACATTAGTTCGTCTTGACAGGGTTCATCATCCTTTGGCATGATCATTTGTGATGTTAATTTGATTTCCATAAATTCCTTTCGGGTTTTGAACACGGTCGAGTTACTTTTCTTATCAACAGCAAGGACGTTGTTTGGGCTGTCAGTCATTGACTGGGAAACTCTTTAGTTACAGCTTAAAGTTAGGACTAGGCACCACATCTTGATGATGCAGGTCTTATATATATGATTATGACCATTGCATCATCTACTTCTCAATCCATTCATTCCATACAACAGACTTATTTTTTCATGTCAATGACCGACTGAGCATTGGCAGGCGGTGAGGGAATTATACGAAATCGTTCCTACTCGCCAATGGAATAACGGAGAAAGTCAGATGAACAAGATAGTCTTCATAGGTAAAAGATATACAAAATTATCCACTCTTATTCCTCATGAATCTTGATGCTGCAAATACTTAATTGTTTTCTTGAAACGTATACGTCCTCTATAATGCAGGTCGTAATCTGAGCGAGGATGTTCTTAGCGAAACGTTTAGAGCATGTGCAGTCTCCTAAGTTTTGTAGCTTTACCAGTTGTTGGATTACATGGGAAAACAAAGCAAGGTGCGTATTGTAGAAGTGCTTGTGCATGAATCACTTATTGTACTGATTTCAAAGTGCTTTTGTGGGCATTTCTTAAACTTTAACTATAAGGAAAAGGAGAATGTGGAGTTTCTTTTGTAGGTAAATCTTGGAGATTTGTGCAATAGTTGTTTTTAGTTTAATCCTATATAACAATTGGACACTCCCTTGTCTCGAACGTCTCGGGACTAAATGCACATATTCTTAAAAATTCGGGACTAAAATGTCAATTCTTCCGAAAATCTTTGATCTCTTATTCGCTGCTTTGTTGTATGCACAACATTAGTGTAAGATCCTACATTAGTTGAAGAGGGGAACGAAACATTCCTTAGTGTAGAAACCTTTATCTAGCAGACGCGTTTTAAAATTGTGAGACTGATAGCGATACGTAACGGGCCAAAGGAGACAATATCTGCTAGTGGTGGTCTTTGGCAGTTACAAATAGTATCACAGCCATATACCAAGTGGTGTGTTACGAAGGGGGTGGATTGTAAGATCCTACATCAGTTGGAGAGGGGAACAAAACATTCTTTATAAGGGTGTGAAAACATCTCCTTAGTAGACGTTTTAAAACTGTGAGATTAATGACGATACATGACGAGTCAAAACGAACAATATCTACTAGCGATGGGTTTCAGCTATTACAATTACTTTAGAAATTATATCCCCTCTCATGCACATATTCTTGAATCAACAATAATGTATTTAGTTTTTTCGAGTTTCATCAATTTCATATCTAATATACATTTTATTATTCATTTAACGTTCAATTTCTAAATGAAAGTTTATTTGAAGGTAAAATTACAATACAGTTAATTTTTTTTAACATTTATCAAAATTGAAGGATTAGATAAAAATGAGTACATATTGTCAAATTTAGAGGCATAAATTAATTTAATTCATATATATATATATTAGAAAAGGCACAAGAAAAACTCAGCCAACTTCATTTTTTCTTTTTTTAGGGTTAAAATATATATATAAAAAATATCCATTCAATTTTTTTTTGTTTGTTTAAAAATATTCTTATTTTAAAAAAATGGTTTTTAGAGATGTTTGTTCTCTAAAACTATTTTTTTTGGAAATATTTGTAAAATGTAAGGATAAAATTAGAATATTGGAATGATAAAAAATAATTATAAATATTAGTTGATAATTTATATCTTTAAAAAATAATTATGAGTATTAGTGGATAGTTTGTGTCCTAACGAGTAAATCCTTCCATCTTCCTCTCACTTTCAAGCTGTCACGCGCTCCTGCCCTGCCGTCGTCGTCGTCGTCTTTCTTCCTCTCGGCCGGCGCAGCCTCCCTCCGTGCGGATCTGCACTGATTTTATACTCTACTGTCGTTGCCGGTATTCTCTCAATCTCCATTGTTTTGATATTTTGTTATAACCATAGCCGAAATAGCATCAGAAAGCGGCGAAGTCCCGGACTGCCTTTTGATTCGTTGCATATGTCTATCATTCGTATATCTTTTTGATCTCAGTTGAAAATTGCCTTGTTTCTGCAACCATGAATTTTCAGAATCTTCCTTCTCAGTTGAAGTAATCGATCTATCGTATTACACATTTTTCTTTTAATCGAGCTTGTACGATTTTTTTTTAATGGACTGATAAACCTTCCATATTTATATTTACACCAATACAATAACCAATGATGTTTTGATTTAAGAAGTTATAGAAAATGTTAGGATTCTCTTAATTTTTTTGGATGAGAAACAATTTTGTGGATACAACCACTTTTATGTATACTATAGATTGGATTATCGGATTCTATTAATTTTTTGGATAGGAAACAAATTCATTGATACTATGAAATTTACAAGGGGAGAAATTCCTTCCATTCAAAGGAAGTATCAATAAAAAATTCTTGAATTGAATATTGGTGTGCTCAAACTATAATTGTTAGAAGGAGATACGTGTGTACTGTACATCGAAAGCTAGAAAAAGGATGTTAATCAATCGAAGCTTCGGGAGATCCATCTTTGTCATGAAAATTTTTGCTGTTCCTTTCCTTCCATATAATCCATGTTGAGCCAAAGTGCCTGTTTTGCCACTTTGAAGGGATAGTCCTTGAACAGGGTGTGCAGCCTGCCTTTTATGTCGAATGGGGGCATCAAACACCAATTAAAGGTTGTTTGAAAGTGAACTCAAATCCTGTTTGAGAATTGGAAGTTTATGAAATGATGGTCTTGAGTCTCGTAATCAGAGGGAGCTTGTGAGATCCCACATTGGTTGGAGAGGGGAACAGAGCATTCCTTATAAGGGTGTGGAAACATCTCTCTAGTAGACACGTTTTAAAATCGTGAGGTAGACGACGATACGTAACAGGCCAAAGCGGACAATATCTACTAGCAGTGGGCTTGGACTGTTACAAATGGTATCCGAGCTAGTTATCGGACGGTGTGAGACCCTAGTCGGAGTAGGGCTAGATCCTCTCCATAATAGACTGATGGCTATACATAACGGGCCAAAGCGGACAATAGCGGTGGACATGGGTCCTTTCCAATCAGTTTGTATAACCCCCCTAATCAATGAAATTATGAAAGCCAAGAATTGTTTTATTAAATAGGACTTGGTTTTTTCATTCTACGCATGTAGTTCGACTCTTTGCTTCTGGGTGCTTTTAATTACTTATGGTTAAGGTTTCTGTCTTTCTTACTTGCATTTGCTGCATCCATAAAAAGTTTTACTGTAGAATGTAGAATTCAATCATGCTTTATTTGTGCTAACTTTTCTTAATCATTTCTTTCTAATGGTTATAGATATGGTATGAAATTATTTTATTTCATCTTCTTTACAAGACACAAGTAGTCTTACTCGAAGTGTTATTGATATTTATTGTTTTTTCTTTGATTATTATCTTGTTAGGACTTGTCTGCTTTGAGTTATATGCCTACAAGCTTAATTGCTCCACAAATGGCATTGGTTGTGATCTGTGGCCAGCCGTGCAGTGGGAAGTCCACTGCGGCACTCTGCTTAGCTGAAGCTCTCAAGGAGTCGAATGTAAAGCAAGCCATTAGGATAATTGATGAAACTTCGTTTCATTTGGATCGTAATCAGAGCTATGCCAATATGCCTGCTGAAAAGAATCTAAGAGGAGTTCTTAGATCTGAAGTTGACAGATCTGTGTCTAGAGATAGCATTGTCATTGTTGACTCTTTGAACAGTATAAAGGGTTATAGATACGAATTATGGTGTTTGGCCCGTGGGGCGGGAATTAGGTACTGTGTGCTGTACTGCGGCGTGGAAGAAACCCATTGTAGGAAGTGGAACGAAGAGCGTCGAGAGAAAGCCGAAGCTAACTATGATGATAAGATATTTGAAGATCTGGTTAGAAGATTTGAGAGACCGGATAGTAAAAATAGATGGGACGTGCCATTGTTTGAGTTAAGGCCACATGAAGATGGCATAGAGACAAGATCAGCTGTCCTTGGAGATGCTGTATTATTCCTTACAAAAACAGTGAACTCGAGGTCGAGGGATGTAAAAATTCTACAGCCAACAATTGCGACTCAGAGTAATCGATTCTCGGAGGCGAATTCTCTGTACGAACTAGACAAAGCAACGCAAGAAGTCGTCAGTGCGATCGTAGAAGCGCAAGCTCAGGCAATGGGAGGGCCTCTGAATGGTATCTCTCTGGGTCAGGAGTTGCCAACCATCAATATTTCAAGGTCGGTTGGCCTACCGGAGCTTCAGAGGCTTCGGAGAACTTTCATTAAACTAACAGGGCAAACTAGTTTAAGCGGACCGCCGCCACCTTCTGATGCGGAGAGCGCCAAGAGGATGTTTATTGACTATCTGCATAGGGAACTGGGGACTGCTTGAAGCTAGACTAACCTGAATGATTCTGGGATTTCCACCCTCTGGAATACTTGTAGCTTATAAACTGCCAGGCTTCTCCGAGCGATAAACATTATTCCTCAGTAGCTTAGTGTAGAGTGATAAACGTTATTCCTCAGTAGCTTAGTGGTAGAGCGGTCGAGTGTTCTTTTTCTAGTTTTTTGCATGGCTCTTGCAAAAACTGTATGCACAGCACATTAGATAGTTTCTGAACCAATAAAAAAAATATTTCTATAAATCGAGCCATTACTAAAGTATTATATCTTCATTATCAGAATTTGTGAACCAGAATTCTGAGCTAAGATATTCCTACAGGTATTTACTTCGGTCGAATAACATCATATTCCAACATCTATTTCATCCTCATTTTATTTCAGGCCTGCTTATTATTATTATTTTTTTTGTTCAATTTAAGATAAAATTAAAGTCCTTGTCATTTTATTTCCACTCTGTCGGGTGGTTATTACTTTTTTTTTTTTTTTTTTTTGTTCCATTTAAAAAACACAAAATGTTTCATTGCTTCACATCATAGAGATCACGATCAAACACCATTCTTTCCGTTAAAATACGCGCGTGAATACCAAATTCTCTCAAATATTTCACGAAAAAATGAGCTCATCCCCATACTTTGGCTTCATTACATTCCTTTTACCTTCGATACTTTGGGTCTCATTACATCCTTCAATACTTTGGGTCTCATTACATTCCACTTTCAAACGTCTGGTTTTGTACCTATAACAAAACTTAAAGATAGTCTATGTTAATTTATCAGAAAAATTTATTCTCTATTAATATTTTCTTATGGACTGGAGAAATGTATTCGCAACCTTTTTTTCTTCTTAAAATTATTAGTATTATTTAACCAATTTCAAGAAAAATTAACTTGACCAAAAATTCTCTAAACAAAATTTATAGGAAAACAATTTGTTTCTAATATTCCACTCTCATATTGTTATTCAATTTCCAAAAATAATGTTGAGAAAGATGAGAGAGAACAGAATAGCTGAGCATTAGAGGATGAATCTTGGATCTACATTTCTAAGCTTGTCTCCCCAGAGGCTTTTGTTGATACATCTTCTGACACCTGATGCAGGAAGTTTCCGAGCAACCTCTGATCCAAAACCATGTTCGGAACCTGGCGGAACCAAAGCTACCGAGTTAAGTCATAGACACGTAAGTAATGTTGTATGTCATATATCATGAGCAAGAAGACAGAACGTGCCTTGTCCCCAAAGAAAATCTTTGTATTATCAGCAATGGCCTCGATAAATTTAAGCTCCAGAAACTCGGGTGTAAGCTTCAACTGGTTGGCTTCAGCTTCTCTTAGTACACTAATAAAAAGATGGGACGATGTTAATGTCATTACATGTTCTCACTTTGATTCTCACTTTGAAAAGTGGACGTGACCAATTGGAAAAGCAAGAGGAGAGAAGTACCGGTAATAATTGGCATCTGCGAGGCTTTTTTCACGAGCAAGATAGATGTGGTTATCAATTTCTTGCTGTCTCCTGGCACTCTCCTTCTCCATCAATTTTTGTTCCATGAGGATCATGCTAACATTAGCATTCTTCTCGGCTTCGCTAATTGCCATTTTCTTCTTGGTCTCTGCCTCTTTCTCGACTACCATTTGTTTTTCTACGGCAATTAAAACCTATCAAGTATGTCCAAGATTGCATAGCATTAGAATTAAGACATGTATAAATGTAACGGCACAAATCCACCGGGAGAGGTTTCCACACCCTTATAAGGAATGTTTTGTTCTCCTCTCCAACCAATGTGGGATCTCACAATAAATTGTGTGACGTTTATTAAAATATACCTGCACAGGTATTCGAGCTAAATATTTTTGAATTAACGGTGTAAACTCGGTTTTGAATTAAAAAGACACGTGAGTCCATGAGAATCCAACGATGCTCTTTAACACAAGTCGTAATTTCAAACACTAGCCTTTGTCACTTGTAGCTCCTATGAAAACTCAAACAGAACAAGAAAAAAGTTGTTTTTTCCATGTTAGAGATGCACCTTTGTACGTTCCACTTCCATGTCTTCAAAGTTCTTTCTGATGGAATCTGGGATGGTAGGTTTTGTAACACGAACACTGATTATTTCAATACCTGGAGCATAACGCGTACAGTCACCTTGGAGGGCCTCTTTCATCTTCTCGTCAATCTGAACATGAAAAGCAGTCACGGGTCATTGATGCTAAAGAAATGCTTAACGCAAGCGGAGAAAGTATCTATGAGAAATTTCATGGAAACATCAGCTTGTAGAGCCTTGAATGGATTCATTGAAAGAATTCACAGCTGAATAAAAAAGAAAACATAGTTGATGTAAATGACTCTACAAATGAGGTAGTAAGTTTTCAAAACACTTGGAGTGGACAAACTTTAATAGCTAGAGTCCACGCTTGGCATATTGCTCTTATCAGCTCTGCAAGTTGCTTGTGTAAATAGAAACAATCATCGCAAGGCTTTCAAAACACACATTTTATATAATTTTTACGTACCTGATCAAAGACATCGATATAAACTTGCTGAAGACTGTGAGAGCTACAAAACTGATTGATTTCATGATGAATCTTGTCATATATCCATATGTTATCATAATTCACACCATAGTTGACCAAGGTGTCATACACGTATTCTTTGCGGAGGCGATTGACAACCTGAAAGTAGCATCCTTATCAACTAAGATGAAGAACAAAAAAAATCTAACATCAATTATTGCAAAGGAATTTCCTAGTAATCGCACCTCGATTTTCTCGAAGTTGATCATTACACCCCCCTTCGTACCACATGGAATATCCCTTACCTGCATGCGGGCATCAATTAGTACAAAGTGTTGAAATCCTAAAAAATCAGCATTAAAAATCTAATTTACTTGATCAGACTGGAGGGTCACTTGAACAGGCACAAACTGGGTTAACAGAGGCAACTTCAGATGGAAACCTGAAAATTTTAATATGATTAAAAGCAGAACATACGGTTGAGGATTATTGGGAGTGAGTCCCAAATTGGTTAATTTAGTGGAAGTTCATGGGTTTATAAGAGAGGAATACTATCTTCATTGGTATGAGGCCTTTTGGGGAAGCCCAAAGCAAAGCCATGAGAGCTTATGCTCAAAGTGGACAATATCATACCATTGTGGAGAGTCGTGATTCCTAACATGGTATGAGTGTCGTGCCCTAAACTTAACCATGTCAATAAACAAGGGGTGTACTTTGTTCGAGGGCTCCAGAGAAATGAGTCGAGCCTCGATTAAGGGGAGGTTATTCGAGACCTCCATAAGCCTCGGGGGAGGCTTATAGTGTACTTTGTTCGAGGAGAGGATTGTTGAGGATTATTAGGAGTGAGTCCCACATTGGTTAATTCAGTGGAAGTTCATGGGTTTATATATTCCTCACTGGTATGAAACCATCTTTATTGATATGAAACCATACAAACTAGGGCAAAAAGGAGAGATTTAAACCTGGCTCCGTTATTGTCTTCAGAAGGGCACGGGGGAGGCTTATAGTGTACTTTGTTCGAGGAGAGGATTGTTGAGGATTATTGGGTCAGAAGGGCACGGGGGAGGCTTATAGTGTACTTTGTTCGAGGAGAGGATTGTTGAGGATTATTGGGAGTGAGTCCCACATTGGTTAATTTAGTGGAAGTTCATGCGAGGAGAGGATTGTTGAGGATTATTGGGAGTGAGTCCCACATTGGTTAATTTAGTGGAAGTTCATGGGTTTATACGTGAGGAATACTATCTTCATTGGTATGAAACCATACAAACTAGGGCAAAAAGGAGAGATTTAAACCTGGCTCCGTTATTGTCTTCAGAAGGGCACGGGGGAGGCTTATAGTGTACTTTGTTCGAGGAGAGGATTGTTGAGGATTATTGGGAGTGAGTCCCACATTGGTTAATTTAGTGGAAGTTCATGAGTTTATACGTGAGGAATACTATCTTCATTGGTATGAAACCATACAAACTAGGGCAAAAAGGAGAGATTTAAACCTGGCTCCGTTATTGTCTTCAGAAGGGCACCTCCTCTCCAATATACCCCCACATGACCTTCTGGTACTTGGTGTAAAATAGAAAAATCACTTTTGAAGTCTGATTGAGATGAAATCAGCACCTGAATGTATATAATGCAGTTATACAACCACTAAAATCAACCATATCAAGTACAATGATCTAAAATTGCTCCTTGACCACATTTAAAGGTTCAACAATAAGAATACCAAATAAACATGAATAAGTTGATATAATTTCTGGGTTGATTGCTCAATACTGATCCAAAATCTCCTTTGTTTATTAAACTTAGCAGACCTGCCATGCGTGAAACGTGGAATTTGTCATGTAATTAACTGTTCGCTGTCTGCTTCAATTTTCTGAACCTTTTTTTTTCTTACACGACACAATTTGGTCAAAATTTCTTAACTATTTCAGGCCCTACGTTTAATAACCATAACGAATTATGCTGCTAAGATCAGAGTCATAAGACTACTCTGTAATCGAAGATAAATAGAATATTCTTTCTTCATTTTTTAATAATACATCATTGAATTTGGCAAATCTCGTAATACGCTAAATGTTTTCACTGATGGCACTAGTTACAGAAACTTTTGCAATGGACTCCAGATCCATTTTAATCGGTTGTATAACCTCTTTGTAACTTTCACATATGGCACCGAATATGGATTAAAAACAAACAAACAGCAAATTACACAATCAAACAATACTATTTATGAACTTATTATGAATCGAAGAAACATATTCTTCAGTACAAGAAACCGACTAACTACCGATACAGGCAAGTATAACTCGAGCGTATTAGTATTCTAACTCCCTATTGCATCGGAGACAATATAGACGAAAAATCAACGCACTTAGTTCGGACAAAATCCCTCGAGCTTAGACAAAAATAAAGCGTATCAATAATCGATAATCGAAGACTAAGTCGTAACTAAATGAAATTCAGAAAACAAAACCACGAAACCTAGATCGTTTTACAGCTCGATAAGGAAGTAATGAGTTACCATGGAAAAGATGGCGATGAAGGCGGCGAAAACTGCGAGTATGGATGAAAAACTGCCGCCGAATTCTGGAGGACGAGTCTGCGGGTATGGTGGCCGCTGTGGCTGATTATGATCCATGCCGCAATCTCAGCTTCAACAACTGAATCAAATCAGGAAGGTCTTTCAGCGTCGAGTGGAGTTCTGTGCTCTTGGCTGATTGAATCCAACTGTTTTTCGAGCGAAAGAAAACTTGATGCAAGAAAGGAATTTCTCATCAGCCAAGAACTGTTTCATGGGGTCCTAGTCTCCTATATATTGTTTAGTGCATTAAATTACAACTTTCAATTTTTTAATAAAAATTAAACTTTAATTTTTGTGTTTAAGTTGTATCTCAAGCCTATGGACAAATCTTAATTCCTAATCCAATTCTTAATTGGGCGGTCCCGTTTTCTTAAGATTTTTTTGCTCGATAGGGATGAGTCCCGAGTTCTGACTCTACGAGTTATATGTCGTTTCGGATAAAGTCCATGTTGGGCTCTACGAGTTTAGACAAATTTAATCGAAGCTTAATCTTCTCAATAGGAGTGTACATTGAATACGATAATTCGAGAACCCGACCCAACCTAAAATATATGAGTTGGGTTGGTACGGATTTAGTTGCAAAGGACCGAGTCAGCCTGACCCAACCCGACCCAACTCGATTACATAAGGAAAAAAAAAAAAGAGAAATAGTTGGGCCCAAGCCCAACCCACTTTCAACTTTCCATCATAAGTCAATGCCCGATCATTGTACTCTTCCTCCCACGACGCATACCCTCAGTTCTTGCTTAAAACATCAAAGATCAATCGACATTATTACTTCTTAGTAGTTATTGTTTGAGTACCATCCTCGATAGTCACCACTGAGAACAACACAATACAGTTGACGACTCTGTACCCACATCCTCGGGGCACCGCCTACATCCACCTCGCACTGCACTCTTCAGTTTTCAGTCGACGCCTCCTCTTTGGACAGTCATCCTTCTCGATCGATGCCTCCTCCCTACAATATAGAGGGTCGGGATGGGTTAAGTTGTGAAACATTTTGAAGTTAGTTTGGTTAACCATCATGGTAAAAAAAAAAATTACCACAACCAATCCATGAATTTAGGATTTAGTAGAGTTTGTAATTTAACCGGGAAATAAGACAGCCCATCGTTTGGCTGTGGATAGAAAAGCAGGAGAAGAGAGGCCAACGGGCGCCAATTTGCCCGCGCTTAACAGAGATGCTCTCTCTAGCAGTGGCTGCGAGTTGGTGCTCCGCTCCACCGCTCATGCAATGGAAGAAACCGAAGCGTCTGGGGGTCATCCTTAACAAATTCCCTTCATTTCTTCCCAAAGAAGTCGACAATATCAAAGACCAATTTGCTCGGGAGCTCGCTACAAGGATCGAGAGGCTACCAGTAAGTTCACTGCTTCTACCTCTCTTGAAAATTCATACTATTTGAGAATTCTAATTGTTGGAAATTCATCTAATGATTATTTCACATGGACTGGAGAAATTTATAATAGAAACTCACGATTCGAGGAAGTTAAAGCCATGTTTCTTGCGGAATTCTGTTTGTCAATGTGATTGAATCGAAGGGTTTTAATTTCTACTAAACGTTATGAGATTTGGCAGGGTTCTTGATCTGATTTATATGTTTGTTCTTGCTCTGCATGCAGGTCAGCTTCTCCGATTCTTGTACTATGAGTAGTTGCGTGAAGCCGTCGATACAGAGCAAAGAATGTCCAGTGGTTCTTCTCCATGGATTTGATAGGTTTCTTTCACTAATTACAAACAATATTCTTTCAAAATACAAGGCTGTTTGTTGTTTCTGTGATATTTGTTATTATTATATCTTTTCCTCGTTCATCACATCTTATTATTCAGCTCCTGTTTAGAATGGAGATACACATATCCATTGCTTGAGGAAGCTGGTTTTGAAACCTGGGCTGTTGATATTCTTGGCTGGGGCTTCTCTGATTTAGGTCTGTTTAATTGCTATATTCCTTTTTTAATTGATCGTTAAACCATTATTTTTATCTCTAATTTTCATAGTTGCATGTGATAGAAAGACTCCCTCCATGTGACGTGACTTCTAAACGTGTTCATTTGTATCAGGTAACGAAAACGTTCTGTTCAGATTGTTTGCCTGTTACGAATTTGGGGAAAATTTCTCTTCAATCCCAATTCTGCTTCCTTTCAATATGATCACAATATGAACTCTCCAAGCCCTTATCTTGTTTGTGCTCTTTTAATTACTATGTTGATACTTGCATCATTGTTATAAGCTTGTTTTATTTTGTCATGATTGCTATGAACTTTTCATTAATATCATTGTCAATCACACTCATATCTTGTCTTGATATGTTGAAACTAATGTAGTTTTTCTTCATCCTGATAATAGCTTTGGAAATCATATATTAAAAGGCCAATGGTATTGGTTGGACCAAGCCTTGGTGCTGCTGTTGCTATTGATTTTGCTGTCAATTATCCAGAAGCTGTACGTATCTCTTAGCTGTAACTTATGACTACAAATTTGAAGCTATACCATCACGTGAAGTTATTGAGAGTTTTCTGTCGAATGTAACGAGATTACTTCAGGTCGATAGGCTTGTGTTGATTGATGCAAGTGTATATGCAGAAGGTACAGGAAACTTAGCTACCCTACCAAGATTGATTGCCTATGCTGGGGTGAGTCTTTGCTCACTTCTGTAAACACTCCATCAAATATTTCAATGCTAAGCATTTTTACCGAGAGTTTGATTTCTGCAATTACAAGACAACCATAAATTTTCCTTCATCCGTACATCTCTTTCCCATCCATGGAAGATATCATTATGCCACCTATAACAACCCAAACCCACCATTAGTAGATATTGTTCTTTTTGGGCTTTCCCTTCCGGGCTTCCCCTATCCCATCCATGGAATATATCATTATGCCACCTGTAACAGCCCAAACCTACCGTTAGCAAATATTGTCTTTTTTGGGCTTTCCCTTTCGAGCTTCCCCTCTCCCATCCATGGAAGATATCATTATGCCACCTGTAACAACCCAAACCTACCGCTAACAAATATTGTCCTTTTTGGGCTTTCCCTTCCAGGCTTCTCCTCTAGGTTTTAAAATGCGTTTGCTAGGGAGAGGTTTCCACACCCTTATAAATAATGCTTTGTTCTCCTTTTCAACCGATGTGGGATCTCACACCACCACTACTAGCTTTCATAATAATTCTTCTTTTAAAATATTCTTGAAGAGAATCATTCCTCTAATTTTCGATTTACAAATTTGATCTTTTGTAATGCAATTTGCAGTTCCATGGTGGAAGATTGTTACCCACTTTTCTTCTTTTCTAAAATATCTTCTTGGAGAGAATTGATTGCGTTTGTTGGTTTGTAATGTATAGTTGTAATTGTTTAACTTATTTTGATCAGGTATTTTTATTGAAGAGCATTCCCCTGCGCTTATATGTGAACGTTTTGGCCTTCACTGGCATATCACTTAGTACTAGCCTAGATTGGGTCAATGTAAGTTTTCCCCTACATCAAGGAGGATATATATCATATATTTGTTGACTTGCCTGAGTACTTTGTGAAATTGGAAGGCTTAATTGACATAAAGCTAAAATGCTCTGTGTCCATAGCCAATTGACTCACCCCCTGCTCCCACTGTTCTCCTTCTATCCCTCCTTATTAGATTGGCCGCCTGCACTGTTTATTACCTTGGTGGGAGGATGCGACTGTCAGTTTTATGTTAAGTGGAGGATATAATGTCAGCAGCCAGATTGAAAAGGTTAGTACAATTCTTTATGCTATTATATGGTTGATGCAAAATGCAATGTTCTAAGTCACGACGTATTGAGTTCTTAGTATTTTAAATGCAATGTTAGTGAGGGACATAAGGAAAAGGTACCGTTCCTCATCAAGGGTCGTCAAATTGAATTTTCCCTAAGGTCTTGAATGAATAACTACAAGTGTCTTTTCATATGCTTCATTTTTCAATTCTCATATCCACATTTGAGGATCTTTGGGTACTGATTATTACTTGCATTTTTGTTTTATAGGTGAAGCAGAAAACGCTCATTATATGGGGTGAGGATGATCAGATCATCAGCAACAAGCTTGCAGTGGTTAGTGTTTACTGTTTATTGCAATTCTGAAAAATGAGATTGAGATAAAAAAATTGAATTGGGTTGACAGAAAAGACTGATAAACAGTGAAAGATCTAGAACTATAGATTGTTTTTTTTTTCTTTCATACGAACTATAGATTATTTTTATGCGATCTTTTAAACAAAACTTAAAGATAAAACTAATACAAAAGTTAAAACATCATATATTTATAATTACTATCGTATGTAGATCATAAATAAGTATCGTTAGAAATGGAATAAGCTCACATTTTTGGAGAATGCAGAGGCTGCACTGTGAACTGCCAAATGCATTCATTCGTCAAATACCTGAGTGCGGCCACCTTCCTCATGTGGAAAAGCCAAATTTTGTTGCCAAATTGATTACTCAATTTGTTCATGAAGATTCCAGAAAAGAGGTTCCGTATGTTAATAATGCATAATTTTTTATTTTTATTTTTTGTTGGATTTGTTTTATAATATGATGGTGTGTTATGTGTATATTTATTTTTTGTATTTATAATATTTCTTCTGTTATTGGCTTTTGTTCTTTGATCCATTCGGTAGCGCAAAACCCCTTATTGGCTAAACAATTTTCGGACCACCAAGCTTATAAGCTTAGTCTTCACATACTTCCATTTCTAAATCTAACTCGAGCGCAGCTTTTCTGTAAGGTGTGATGCAGTGTCAAACCAAATTATTCAACAAAAGCTCAACCTTGAAAAAGAAAGGTGGTAGGTCGATTTGAACGCTTTAACTTGGCCACTGAAGTAGGCAAAGACTTGACAAAGGTTAGGTTCATTTATTGCCTTTTCAAATCATGAAGTACTACTCTTAGTATGCCTATACGTTTCAAAACTCTAGCAGCGCTGGGCTGCGAGACTCATTGTTGAATCCTATTTGAAATAGATACTCCCTTTCCACAAATCTCCTCAGTAGCAAGCACATAGGACTAACTCTTTTAGGGCATCGTAAGCGTGGCCACAACAGTTCGTATTGATCAGTGCAAGTATGTGCAGTCATTAATATTTAGGATTTGGTTAGATTTAGATGGAAATTGGAACAAAGTTATTCAGAAGGATGAATTGTTTAAGTTTTTTTTTTTCTTTTTTGTTTTTTTTGGTTAAGTAATGATTTGTTGTCTTGATTTTTTGAACACCAACAGATTTATTTATTTAGTTTCAGTTTTTGAAGTTGAACTAAGATTCTAAAAACATGTTCAGAAATTCATTCATAAGCCACTATGAATCTTGAGAGATTTAACATTAAAAAATTGTTATCGAACAATTTTTTAAATAGCATTTACTCATCATAATCATGAGCATGAGTCTATTGCAATAAAACAACTAGTTGGTAATGGTAGGTAGTTCATTAGTCTATTCACAGCACCAAATGTCAAGTGCTGTTTGGATGAGTTTCCAAACACAAATTTTAAAAAAAATTATATAGAAAAAAAAAAAAAAACCATTATTGAAGTTAGTATCATCATGTGGTTTTCATTCCATCTCTTGTCCCACCCATGTGATCCTCCATTCACCCAAATTTAGATACTCGGCCATTCCTTAGACTCACCGATCAACGAATTGGCCTATTTCTTGTGTGTCCTCATTGAAGTTTTTAAAAAAGTGATGTTTGGAATGAATGGCTTCCTTAGTTCTAGGGCTATATGCACAAAAGGAGTAGACATCGTTGTACCCCTCGATCATTCTAGAAGAGCTGTATGTGGACATTACCGCTCATATAACTCCCAATCTACAAGTAGTTAGCCTTCCACAATAAATAATGGAAGTACGGGTGAATGAATATCAAATACATCCTTTGAATAATTCAAATCGAACTAATTGGATGTCTTGGCAGCTAAGTCCTTGCTTTAGAACAAAGAAGAATGAAAGCTAACATTTCACTGTTTTCGTTCTAACTTTTGAGCATATGGACGGTAATGAGAGTAACGCAACTCATAAACTTTATTATAAAATAAAGAAATTAATAATGAACAAAGAACAGAATTATTGATTAGAGGGTGCAAAGTCCCATCCCATTAGGAATCAAATTCTCCACCCTTTCTCTTCTCCACATCAAAGGACATTAGAAAATAATCTTCCCAGCTTTGCATCCATCCATCCAAACAAATCAACTAATGACCTCAATTGTTAACCTTGGACTTAACAGAACATTGACCACCAAAATGTGACAGTGGCTGCGAAGAAGAACAAGTTAAAGGCTGCTGCAGTGAGACCTGCAGCAGCACTGCCATCCATGTTATTCCCGCTACCACCGAAACCGACACTACCTGTCGGGCTTATCCCGCTCCCAAACACCGAGGGGGAGGTTGTGGTCGAGGGTGGTGGTGTTGACGGGTTTGTGGTGGTTCCCAGTGTTGCGCTGGGCACGGTGGTTGACGGGGTGGTGCTGGTTGGAGTTCCTGTGTTGCTGGAAAAAGAGAAGGGTGTTCATTTGTTTATGTCATTGTCACTAATGCAAACTTGAATGGTTAATTTTTCATTGGACATTTTCCATCTAGATTAAGTTATCAAGAACAGTAACTTTCTAAGGGAAAAAATATGCTAGAGCTATGAACACATCCCCAAAAAGGGAAAGGAATTGGATTCTTGATAGAAGTTTCTTTTTCTCTATCAGGCAGCAGATTCTCACCAACACCAGCTGAAAAAGTTGGGAAAAAGGTAACTTTTGGTAAAAGAAAGAGTCTCTTGGAAATTGGAATATGCCACTTTGGGAACCAAATTCCCAGTTGAAAGAAAATGGAGATATCTGAGTATCATTTAGGATTAGTGCTTTAGTTTCCTTAAACATTTTCATGTTTCAACTACTCCCCAACTCACTTCATCTTTGTCCAAATCCACCGCCAGCAGATATTGTCCGTTTTAGCTTGTTATGTATTGCCGTTAGCCTCGCAATTTTAAAACGCGTCTGGTAGGGAGAGGTTTCTATACCCTTATAAGGAATGCTTTGTTTCCCTCTCCAACCGATTTGGGATCTCACAATCCCACCCTCTTGGTGTCCAGGGTCATTGCTGGTACCATTTGTAACTGCCCAAACCCACTACTAGTAGATATTGTCCGTTTTAACTCGTTACGTATCGCCATCAACCTCACGGTTTAAAAACACGTCTACTAGGGAGAGGTTTCTACACCCTTATATAATGTTCGTGGGATCTTGCTAAAGTATTCAACTCAAAACTACTTTTCATTTAGAATGTTACTGAAACAGATTGCTTTCTATAAGTTGACTGTGATATCACTTCAAAAAAACTGCAAGAGGGTGAGGAAATTGAAATGGGTACCTGGAACTGGAAGAATAAACACACCCAGAAGCTTCAACTGTCAAAAAAACAAGAAAAAGAAAAGACCCAAAAAGTGTTAACAAAAACCAAACCATTTGATGAAGAAAACGAGTAAAAATGAAAGAGAAAGGTCTTATACCAGGAGGAGACTGGCTAAGCATGGCAGTGCCTGAAAAATCACAGCTCCCTTGAACCTGACCCTTCCTTTGAAAGTAGCTATTAACAGCATAGCTACAGTGATCCTTTATAGTGTTGGGTTGAAAACAAGGGCCATTTTGAAGAATTGGAGTACAATCAGCTCCAGCTCCACAGGCATAATCCAGTGTCTTCTGAAGGGCTTGGTCGCTCTGTCCATCTTTACAAATACAATAGCTTGCACCTAAAGAAGTTCAAGAAATAGAGCCAACAGTTAGTTTTCTATTGACCTTTTTGTTTCCATGGTGGGGAAGAATATGAAAATCATCAGAGAAGATTACTTGAATGGCTAGTGAAGGCCAAGAAAATGAGATGACAGAGCAAGAGAACCGCCATGGTTGAGCTCAGATTCTGAAAAAAATGAGTGCAGAGAAGAGAACTACGGTTGTTTTAAGAGAAATGGCCAAACCAGAGAGAGAGGGAGAGAAAGGGGGGGCTAAGAGAAAGTAGGGGCGTTGCAGGTATGTCTCTATTCACCTTTTAATAAGGGCGTAGAAACCTCTCTCTAGCAAATACGTTTTCAAAACCGTGAGGAGAAGCCTGAAAGGTAAAGCCCAAAGAGTACAATATCTACTCGCAGTGGGCTTGAGCGGTCTCTCATCTATCCACTTTTTTAGATAATTTTACTTCCAAAAGTAGAGCATTATCTGCTAAGCAATGAACTATTTGGTTGATGGGTCTGAAAACTTGCTTAGTTTGGAGTTGAAAATTTAGAATTTTGATTCATGGGTATGAAACTATATGCATTTTGAGATTTTAAATCACTGTATGGTAGGCGTTTTAGGCGTTTAAATCACTGAAGATGGGTTTTGTTTCATTGATGAGTAAGAGTAGCAGGTTTGGACTATCTTCATTCGTTACTGAATATTGGTAAAGATCATAGAGAGAAGGAAAGGAAAAGAGATACTCAGCCGCCGACACCAGGAAAACCACCGGAGTTTTAGAGATACTCCGATGGAGGATTTGATGTTGGGACTGTGGGCGAGCCAAGAAGGGGTAAGCAGAGGATGGGGGAAGGGCGCCCGGGAGGAAAGGAAATTCAGCCGCCGGAGAAAGAAGCCATGGACGGCGAGGAAGGAGGAGGAAGAAGAGGGGAGGGATTGAGGAGAAACTGAAAATCCTAATATTTGATTAGGACTAAAAATTATTTTTCTTTAAAAAATATATATAATTTATTCTTACTCCCCAAATGTTTAATAAATTTATTGTTTTTTTTTTTTAAAAAAAATACATAATTTGTATGAAAACTTTCAATTTCACATGTTTGAAACAAAATGTTTCGCTGGAGTTTTCGTTCGTACACGACCCACGAAGCACGCCCGATGTCGGGATCATCACTAAAACCAAATCCAACCTTCAGCCACCTCCAAGGCACCTGCAAAAACGAAAAATAATGAGAAAAACGAGAAAGATAGAGAGAAAATCGACGAAGCCAAACCTTACGAAATTGACATCGAAACCTATGATTTATGCAACGAAAACAATCCTAGAGACCTTTACAAACATCAGGGATAGATTTTGACGTTGTTTAACGTTAGATTTTCGAGTCCTCTCAAATTCGAGAGTTTTAGGCCCTTACGAACCAAACAAACAAGAAATGAATTGAAAATATAAGCACGGTAAATAATTTTATATAACAAATTGTCAATTTGTTGCCATTATTATAATTTTGACATTACAGTTAATTTTTTTCGTACAATATAGTAAAGTCAAAATTTTATGATAATTATGATAAAAATTAATATAGTTGGAGGTTAAAAGTTAATTTTTCTCTAAATCAAAATTAGTTACAATATATAATAAGGTTAGTTTTGCAATTTTTAAAGGAAGAAGATTTTTTGAAAGCTATTTTGCAAAATAATCTTAGTCGTTTACGGGGAGCATGCCACGTGGCATGCCCATGGATTATTTAGATATTTAGGCTTGAAAGTTACCATAGTGCCCTTCTAAACCCAGACTCTCTGGGTGGCTTCTTGGCGCCTATTAGCTCACAATGGCAAAACCCTAAAGAAAGTTCACTGTCGCTCTCACTGCAAATGCCATTTCTCCAGCTTTGATGCTCCATCCATGGCGTCCAAAATGGCGATTCTTTCTCGAACTCAAACCATAATCAGAAACTCGAACCTCAACAACGTCTGCTTCTTCAAGCCCATTACCACCTTCACATTTCTTTCTCAAGAACCTCAGCTCGCTAATGAACCAGCGGACATTCCATCAACTCCACTTCCTCCAAATCCCGCCTCCGGCAGCCCTCTTTACAACGAGAACTGGCGTAATCCAATACCCAACGCTTCTCGGACTCTGTCAATGATCCCCCTCGGGTTCCTTAACCAATCCCCGAGCTCTCGCATTGAGGCATTGTCTCAAACGCTCGATGTTCAGAGCTTGTTGAACGTTTTTGCTGATTGGATGGCTTCCCAGCGCTGGGAAGATATGAAGCAGTTGTTTGAATTTTGGATTCGGTCTCTGGATAAGAATGGCAAGCCTAATAAGCCGGATGTTAACTTGTATAACAATTATTTGAGGGCTAACTTGATGGTTAACGCCTCGGCTGGGGAGCTTCTGGATCTAGTGGCTCAAATGGAGGACTATGCGATATCTCCTAACACTGCATCATTCAATTTAGTATTAAAGGCGATGTATCAGGCTAAGGAGACTGAGGCCGCTGAAAAATTGATTGAACGGTCAGATTTTGAACCTTATTCGTCATTCAATCTTCAATAAATGTGTGTTCTTCTTTTATCTGTCAACTACTTTTGTTCCGTGCGTCTATAGATTAACCTCTTTAACGAACTCCTTTGTTATTGCTTGTTTATTGGGAATTAAAAGCTTATCGTTCTTTGGGTCTAGCATTGATCCATGATCATGAATTACGCATTGAAGTTACTCGTACAGTTTGAAATCTTTAGGATATTATTTCAACTGAAAAGTTTCTAGATTATGTCCCCCATGCAAAACTTGATGATAATAAAATACTTCCGGGGGACAATAATGGTAGTTGTTTCAAGTGAATATCTGGAAAAGCATATCAATTTTCAGGGATCAATACTACTTTTAGCTATTGGTCTTGATTGTAGTAATCTCTCACACTCTTGAGGGAGTTTTCTTATTAATCAATGTGAATGAAAATTAAAACCAAGTGCAGTAACATAACGATTAAACTTAAACACAACTAATTACAACAGCTTATTAACTAATCAAAGAATAAAATAATGATGAGTTATTATCCCCCTCAAGAAAATTCCCGTAGATGCTTGAGTTGGATCGCCAAAACAGTCTCGAGCACTTGGATGTGGCTTAGTGAATAGATAAGCATTTCTTGAGTAGTGGAAATTTGATGAAGTTCAATATCTTTACGAAGCACACGCTTGTGTATAAAGTAAAAATTTATTTCCACGTGCTTCCATCAACCATGGAAAATCGGATTGTGAGCTAGTTGAAAAGCTGAGACATTATTTGCATTGGACTATATTGCAGTTAAGTGTGCTTTTCTCTATATTGCAATTTGTTGTGCTTTGAGCCTGATTTACAGTTAAGTGTGCTTTTCTCTACAAAAACAATGGCCTTTAAGCATCGTTGTCATAAGTTATAGGCTTTAAACATAGTTTTCTTTCTTTTTATCAGTATGTTGCAGACAGGAGAAGAGTCAATGCCTGATGATGAATCATATGATTTAGTAATTGGAATGCTGTTGTCAACAGATCAGATTGATGCTGCATTGAAATATATTGACTTGACTTTAAAATCAGGTCATATGCTGTCGTTGAAAGTGTTCACTGAATGTGTGCGGAGCTGCGTTAAAAAGGGCAGGCTGGACACACTGGTGTCGGTAATTGATAGGTGCAAGGTAATAAACCAGTTCAATTGATGGCTAAGAAAAGAATTTTTTGCTTGTTGCTTCATTACTTCTCCTGTTGGTGTAACAGGCAACTGTTCAGAATAAAGCTCTTTGCCCAACATGGAACTTGTGTAATTTTATCGCTGAAGTAGCAACGCAAGAGGATAATAGTAAACTTGCTTATTATGCTCTAGAATTTATGGCCAGATGGATTGCTCGAGGTGAAAATGCGAGGCCTCCAGTTCATCTTTCAGTAGATGAAGGAATAGTTGTATCAGCTCTTGGAACTGCAGGTAGAACCTACAGCTCTTCTCTTTTAGATGCATCTTGGGCAATTCTAAAGCGCTCATTGGGACAAAAGAAGGTTCCAAATCTTGAATCTTACCTTGGAAAGATTTATGCTCTTGCATCATTTGGGAATCTGCAAAGGGCCTTTACTACCCTACGTGAATTTGAAGAGGCTTATAGGACTGCTGATGATGGAGCTGGTGAAGAAATGTTTTCTCCATTCACTTCTTTATATCCATTAGTTGTGGCATGCTCTAAGAAGGGTTTTGAGACCCTGGACACGGTATAACTTTCTACCCGTAAAAATTAAGAATTTGCAATTTCCATGAGTAATGTAGTATAAAGTATAATATGGTACCTTGCATTTACAATATTCAAATGATTGATGCCTTCTGCTAAGTTCCTACCTATAACCAGGACATGAAGTGTTTCAATAAAATTTAATCTTGTCAGTTCCTACAAATCTTGGAGATAGTTTTCTTTGTCAGTGCCATATATGGGCTCTCATCAAATAATAACGTTTATTGTGGGAGGTCTAGAAGAATATTCACTATTACTATGATAAAAATCAACTGAGGCAAGTAGAGTGCAATTGTCTCTCTCACAGAACACGAACACGAACACAAAAGGTTATTTGATGCGTGTCATATTAGATACATTGCATGCTTCCGTTGTTGAAACATGATTATCAGTGACTAAATTAAGAAGTTCATGGTAGGTGAGTATTTTTATTTGTTTCCTCTAATTCATCGGAGTTTCCAATCTAATTTTCTCTCCTTTTTTAGGTTTACTTTCAACTGGAAAACTTGAGCCGTGCAGATCCTCCTTACAAGTCTGTTTCTGCATTGAATTGTGTGATTTTAGGCTGTGCAAATATATGGGACCTTGATCGTGCTTACCAAACGTTTGAAGCAATTGGTTCCAGTTTTGGTTTGACCCCTGATATCCATTCATACAATGCTCTGATATACGCATTTGGAAGGCTAAAGAAGGTGAGCCTTTAACCTTTTATACCACTCCCTTGTTCACACACAAAAACTCACGTGCAATTAGCTGCTGAAATTCCATGGACTGCTGATGGTTGGTGGCTGAAAAAACTAACATTTGACAAGTGTCATTTATGGGTTAGATTGCTGTGTTTTTGTCGCGAGATGGGTCTGAATGCGTAATGAAGCATTACGTGCTCTCTACGTGCACGCACTTCAGGGGTTCAATGCACAGTCAAATATTTCTTATATGGACATCACACATATTTATGGTCTATATAAACTGAAAATTTTGCTCACTTACTATGGTCACTTGACAGACATTTGAAGCTGCAAGGGTGTTCGAACACTTGGTAGGTTTGGGCGTCAAACCAAATGCAAAATCTTATTCACTGCTTGTTGATGCTCATATCATTAACCGCGATCCCAAATCAGCTCTCTCCGTGATCGATAACATGGTGAATTTTTCGTTTCAATTGACTTGTATTCATCTGTATATCCGTGTTCTTATCACGGTGGTGCTAATTACGTCACAAAACATTTTTGGAAGGTAACTGCTGGATTTGTACCTTCAAAAGAAATGCTGAAGAAGGCAAGGAGGCGATGTATGCGAGAGATGGATTACCCTAGTAACGATAAGGTGGATTACCTGGCCAAAAATTTCAAAATTCGAATGGGAACAGAGAATCGTAGGGACATACTGTTCAATCTGGACTACGGCACCAATTATGTTGCATAATAGGTAAACTTCTAAGCAGCAGCAATACTCGCAATCAAAATATAATCCAAACATGTTCATCATCTTAACTTAAAGCTTAAGAATGGTGTAGTTCATGGAAATTTTGAAGTTGATTAACTTTTGTTGATATTTTGCAGGCTTTCATTCCTACTTGGAAAATCTGAGCTGCGCTAATTGGTATGTCAAACCTGCCAGCAGAGTTTTGCCTCTTCACAAAGATATGTCATTCTATATTTGTAAATTATTAGAGTCAACAAATTTCAATCTTGGCGGGATGAATGTTAGGATCATGCCCTTTTCACCATTTAGATTCATATATATTTGTTTGACGTCTTCCCAGAAAATTAGTGAACCAAAACTGAGTTCATTCATTTTGACTTTGATGAATAATATGTCCAACTGGAATTTTGCTGTATCTACCTCTTTCAGCAGTTCTTTTACCTTCTGTTGGAAATTATCCGGGTACGGATACTCTTATTTATTGTCTGTCATGTCAGCATCGGAGTTTACCAGTGTAAAAAAAAATTATGAAGATAGATCTTTAGTGTGGACAAGAACAAGGAGAGTATTCAACTCTCATATTACTAGATTTTTTTTCTGAATCAATGGTGTTGTTGGATGATGAAAGTCAATGATCCTGGGTTTATAAACAAAGAATATTCTCTCCATTGGTATGAAACCTTTTGGGGAAGCCCAAAGCAAAGTCATGAGAGCTTATACTCAAAGTGGACAGTATCATACCATTGTGGAGAGTCGTGTTCGTCTAACAGGTGTCTCGCAGAGAATAAGATGGTTACAATTGTTTTTGTTTTTTCGGTAGTAAACGTGGTAAAGGTGAGGTTAGAGCTGGAAAATGACAAGTGCTATCAGTTCTAGGAGTAATTTTGGTGTAAATGGTGACTTTTGTTACTAATGGAATGCTTTACGCCACAAATGCAGGTATGCAGGTAGGCAATATTGCAACTCATTCGGTCATGTACGTATTGTTCATGATATCGGAACATCTTGAACATCCATCGATCCATTCGGCTTCTCTTGAGGCATTGGACCCACACGTGTCCATGTCACATCATTTATGGACTTTGTACCTAATAGTAGGTGTATGATCTAACCTCCGACACATGAGCTAGGGTGCGATGTCGGCACACCCATGTTGTCCGATATTGTCCTTGAAAACCCCATCTCAAAAGAAGTTGTCCGAGACACTTGTCTCGCAACGCTCGCCCCATTGTGATATATGTATGTGCCATAGGGTAGTTTGCTTTGTCTACAGGGCTCGGTGGTGGTGGAGAGTTGACATCTTGCCTCTCTCATGATACATTTTGAGGCATTTTTAATTTGACAGGTGTAGATATGATTTTGGCGAACAGATATATGTTGTTGTGGAGCGTTCGTTCGGTATCTAATTGACACAAAATTTGGCGAGCTTTCATCTTTCATAAGGATGAACTTAACTTCAGAGCTGTATGTCCAAACTTCTTCTAAATCCAGACTTTCGAGGTTAAGGCTCGGAACCCTACCCGACCCTTTATCAAGCCTATTTTTGTCTCTCATGTCGACATCGTTGCTTTCGTCTCACTTGTGCCTCAATTTGGCTTCAAATGCACATTTCTTTAGTGTGTTAGATAATGTACCGTTCTCTTCGGTCCCATCATGACTCCCCTATCATGGCCTTCAAGTGGCTGAATAGGCGCTACTTGAGCGTCGCCACCTTGCTTGTCTCGATGTGAGGGTTACAACTTACTCCTTTCAGAATAGGATAATTAATTCAAATCAAAATGGAAATTAATATTTCTAATATTTTTTTTATATAAAAAATTAAATATAAATGAATATGAATTGAAATTATAACAATAAAATGTTGAATTATTAAAGAAACAGAAATATTATATAAATTCAATTAAAAATCGGAAGATAATGTTTTGAATAATATATTATTTTGAAACATTGAAATAAATAGATTGTCTAAATATTTTTGGATAATTTTTTTTTATAAATTTTATTGTAAAAAGAAAATAGGTTAAATTAACCCATTGGTCTGTACGGGGCAACTGATTCTGTTCGTTCATCTTAGTAGGAAACTCACCATCGACGGAAGGCTTAGCGCTAAATTCGAAGGCCATGGAAATTTTGATCTACAGTAGTTGAAACCTGCCGGTGAGCTCTAATTGTTTGGAGGATTCTGCTTCTCTTTTCGGTCTGAGGTTCGAAAAATTTATTTTCTGCAATTCCGATCAGCTGTAGCTATTTAGTTTCAGGGCAATTCATTTGAATTATTTGAATTAGAGTCTAAGGCCTTCAAGCTTCGAATCACCTCACATGGATCGGAAAAATCCTCAATCAGAAGTGTTCTTGGAGGAATGGAATGGTTCTTCATTATCGGAGCTTCGGAAGACTGCCACCATAACTGTTTCTCCTTCCCTGTCCATCCAAAGGCAATGTTCTGATTCCCTTCCCATCTCAGATTCCACTCACCACTTTTGGAAATTTGCGATTGATATTTCCTCTTTCTTTTTTCAATCTATAGATCTGGTTCTCGTTTCAAAATCGTGGGGAGACGATTCTTTGACGCGTTTGTACCGGAGGCAAGCTTGTGTTTGGATTTCTTCGACTCTATGTAGTGTCCTTGATTTTTTTTTTTTTTTTTTTTTTTTCCCTTTCTTATTATCAATCGTTCGTTCAATTGCAGGGGTTTCCTAGTAGTGTGACCCCCGATTATGTTCCTTTTCAAATATGGGACTCATTGCAGGTAAAAGTTTAATTTACTTGTTTCTCACCTGTTACATTTGGCGATCTTAATCACCATGAATATGAGCTGATGTAAATAATAAAATGCTTGGAATGGATGAATTCTAGCAACAGTAGTTAGTTTTCTAGGATTTTACATCTTAAGAGTTTTCTTGACGACAAAATGTTGTAGGGTCAAGTAGCCTTGAGATTAGTCGAGATGTGTGCAAATTGGCAAAGATACTCATAGATTAAAAAAAATCATTTGGCAATCTTATGTTTTTCGTAGTAACATTTTCCAGTGATAATAGTGAGCTATAGAGTTATGATTATCATTGTCTTTCAGGGTCTATCGACATACATTAGGACCATGCTCTCTACCCAAGTAAGGCCATTTTATTATATATATATTAACATGTGCAGTTCAGTTTCTTCTAAATTTAATATGCATTTACGCCAAATCTTTCCTAGGCTCTCCTGAGCGCCATTGGGGTCGGAGAGCAATCAGCAACTGTCATTGGTGCAACATTTCAGGTAAATTCAAAACTGAACTTTTGATAATTGATCTCAAGTTTTTGTGGCTTGGAAGATAGATACCTGTAATGAATGTGCTGTTAGTTAATAAATTTCTCTTTCTTTTCTGTTGCAACTTTTCCAGTGGTTTTTGAGGGATTTAACTGGAATGATTGGAGGTATCTTATTCACATTTTACCAGGTGTGCTGTTCTCTTCTGTAATCATAAATAAATCTATATCTGATTTACTTGCATAGTAATTTTCTTGAAAATTTGTTCCATAATAGCGTGAAATGGTGATGGGACTGCTAAGGATTGATTGAAGCAGATACAATTTTATACTTAGTCTTCTCCTGATAAATTCTTTTGTAATCACAGCCTTTAAATGGTTATAAACAACTGGAAGGTTTTCTTTTGCTAGTTTTTTCGGGGAGGGGTAATCTCTACCCGTTGCCCTTAGGTTGTCTCTTTTGTTCCTTTTGATGAATACACACGTGTTTCCTATCGAAAAAGAAAAAAAAAAAAATACTTCTCCTATCAAATTCAATATTTTGTTGTTATAATATTTATAGAATTCAAGACTTGTAGAGTTAGTCTAGAATTCTGTTCACCGTTTTTATTATGAATCTTCTTTCTTGGTTATGATATAGCAACAACAATTGTCCATTTCAGGGATCAAATCTGGACAGCAATGCCAAAATGTGGCGCTTGGTTGCAGATTTCATGAATGATCTTGGTATGTGTATTTTCCCCCTTATTCCTTACTTAACCTGCAATAAGTTCTCTTTCTAGGACAAGTACATGCAGAAATGTGGGTATCTAGTGGATTAGACTTACCCATTTCCTTCTGATTTTTCCTTTATATCTTTTCCGTGGAGAGTTTCCATTGTAATGTAAATTATCATCTGCTTAAACCGTTGTTCATAGCTAAGCAAACTAACCTACAGCCATGGAATTGTTAAAGTAAATAGATCTCTAATTTTCGGAAAGGTTACTACACTGAGCATTTTCACTTTTCCATGTTGCATTTTGAATTTTATGTCCTAAGATAACCAACGACTTTGTACTGAACAGGTATGTTGATGGACCTTGTTTCCCCCTTGTTTCCTTCAGCATTTATGCTCATTGTTTGCTTGGGGAGCCTGTCAAGATCATTCAGTAAGTCCTTACAGATTTTAGAAATTTTCATGTAAACATGGTATTGTCATGTAAATGTTGAGATTTTTCTAATGGTATCATGTTTCTACGTTGTTATAAATGATGTTATATTAGTTCAGTGAAAAAAACATTTTCAAATTGATATTTAGCTCACATTTCATCTTTAGTTCAGTGATGAATTTAAACTTTAAACTTTAAACATTTAATTTCATTGGAGTACACCATAAACTTCGATAAGTATTAAATTTGTACACATTCAAAACCAAAATAGAAAATTACCCTTTAATCAATCAATAAATCATGTAAAGTTCAACTAACAAAACACCAAAATGTTGACTCAAAAGGGACCAAGCCAATTCGAGAAATGCCCGATTGTTGCTAAAAAACATCCAATACAGTTTGAAGGACTAGTACCTAAAAGATATAGCCAAAAAAAAAACGTTAGAAAAATGGAACTCAAGAGGAAAGGAGGGTATTTTTGGTGGTTAGGGTGGTCATGTGCTGTAGACTTATGGATGATACTAATTCGTGTATTCAACAGAAAATAAGCATGCTGTTTGGACTTCATATCTTAATTAATTGGATGTAATCCTTAATGCTAACTATAGATTTCAATCCAAATCAGCCGGTGTGGCAAGTGGAGCTACTAGAGCTGCTTTAACACAACATTTTGCCCTTCAGAATAATGCTGCTGATATATCTGCCAAGGTATAGCGCAAGCCACTTTCCAGGTGAAGAATGATCTCTGATCCAGATATATTGTAATGACAATTGTCACTCTTGCACCAATAGGAAGGAAGTCAAGAAACAGTAGCAACAATGGTAGGCATGGCGATTGGTATGCTTCTTGCTCGTATTACCATGGGATGCCCACTGGCCATCTGGCTTTCTTTTCTATCTCTCACGTTGTTCCATATGTACGGTGAGTTATTTGCTTGAACAAACCCTCGGTTTATAGTATATGTTGACGTGACATTTAGTTTTTAAATTTCTGAATTGGTAAGAGTTCAAATTTTAGACCATCATCTCTTATGAACACATTGTTAACTTTTCTTCATCAAATTTTCTTAATAGTATTTTAGGTTCAAAATGTTTATTCGTCTACATAAAAAGAAAAAAGATGGAAAAATATATATTTATGTAGTCATGGTAGATTTCAAACATGCCTTGGTAGGTCTGTCACAATTTTGTAAAATTCTGCTTGTGAATTTGTGCAGCAAATTACAAGGCTGTTTGCTGCCTTTCCTTGACTTCACTCAACCCTCAGAGGTGTTCAATTGCTTTGCAGCATTTTATTCAGACAGGCCAAGGTGATGCCCGATGTCTTTATTCTTTCCTGTTGTTACTGATCATGATTCATTTCCTGGATGGTTCAGGGCTATTTGTACGTATGTACACTGTAAATTCCACTCACACGCGTTAATATGTGATTTATGCGACAAAACTATTTTTAAATCTACCTCTTTCTGCGATAAATAAAAATTGCTGCACTCTAATCTCTTTGTTTAAATAAAAGTTACCATGCGACTGAACCTGCATTCAGTTCTCTCTCCTCAACAGGTTTCTAAGATGGAGCATGTTTTACCCACATGGGTTTCTTCATGGAGTTTAAGGAGTATTAAGTTAATCCATACACGTGTAAGATTAGGAGAGAGGATCTCTTCACTTCATCACTCAGAAATGTGAGTTTTTACATACCAGCTTTTTGACTTGCTTGATCTTTTTTTTTTTCTTTTCTTATTATTTAGATAAGAAGAAGACATCCATTTGACAAATAAATGACAAAGAAGCAGGTTAAGCCAAAGTGTTATAAAAAAGGGTTTCAAATGGACAAGTTTTGGATGCAATAATTACAAGACTCAATATTGAAAGAACTCCCAAGATTTTAAAATGCTGGCATATGTGGAAGCGAAAATAGAAGTGGTTGTATATGTACTATTGTTTACATTAAAAAATAAATAAATAAACTAGCAACACGATACTCCTTAAATAGATCAATCAAATATGGTTTATCATTAGGATTTAGGCAATATAGTACGTCCGTTGCAAGTGTAAAGAAATTTACTTTTATTTAAAGAACACATGCGATTGGAAGACTGAAGTTTGTCTGGTTATCTGTCATAGTTTTTCTTTCCACAGTTCATAAAACTGATATATAGCTAATAACATTATTTTGGTATAGGAAGGAGCTGTTGCAATTGGCAGGTGCCAATAGTAACAAAGGTTGGAGTACTTTTAAATATTTTCCGAAAGATAGGTTTGAGCTGTATTTTATAACTCCATCTGATCATATGTTATTCGTTTTCCAGTGAAGTACCTTCTAATGGAGAGGAAGTCCATTATCTGTGTTATTGTGCGAAAAGATGCAACTGCTAATGACATCTTCCAATCATTCTTTCATGCACTTGTTACGGCTTATGTTCCTGATCAGGCGTCTAGGCATTTGGAAAGCCTGTCGTGGATGGACAAACATTATGAAGATTTTATTCAAAAGGTTTTTTTTTTTTTTTTTTCTCTTTAATGTTTCTGAACTTCATTAAGTTGCAAATTTTCTCTTCCGTTCTTCTTTTCTTAGCCTTTTCTTTTTGGTTATAAAAAATGATAAATTTTCATTAATTTTTTGAGAAAATGATACGAAAAACTTCCCCAAAAGTAACTCACAAAAAACCACTTCAACAAGACTGCAAGAATTAATTAAAGAACGGTTGAAATTTAGCAAACGGTCCAAATCTAATCTTAATCTCGTCTCTTCTCGCTATAATTTATAAGGTGTCCTTTCATCGAACTCCCAGTAGGCAGCTTTTTGTTTTACTCCCACAACATTTGCCTTTTCCCGGTGGTTCAACTGTTCAACTGTTCTCCCAATTAGCGGAGTATATACATAAAGCCTGTTTAAATTTAAACCTTGAGCCTTTGGCTGAAGGGATGGAGAAAAAGGAGTTGATCCTTTTGTTAGGAATCACGACCCTCCACAATAATATGATATTGTCCACTTTAAACATAAGCTCTCATGACTTTGCTTTAGGCTTCTCCAAAAGGCCTCGTACCAATGGAGATGTATTTCTCACTTATAAACTCATGATCTAGCTGATGTGAGACCCTTCTTCCAACAATCCTCACTCCTTTTAATCATTATTCACATATAGAGGACACTAGTCTGGAAGCAAAACCATCTAGAGCAGAACCATTCTCAAATGGTACCTACATTTGATCCTACCATCCATAGCCATAGCCTAAAAAAGAGAGAAAGTGATAGAGAGAGAATGTCTGCCCGTTCAGAATTCCAGATACATGGATGCATGAATTGCATCGTAGGAAGATATTACTTGCCAACACGTTACGTATGGGAAAAATCATGCTTTTCTTTGAAGCTTGCTATAGTTATCTGTAAATTGGAATAGAGTTGGAACTATATGCCTTGGACTTCTGTACATTCTTTCATATAGAGTACAATTCTCAGCCACATGTGATGATATTTTCATTACTTTACATTCGGTATATTTATAATTTTCATTGCATTTACACCATTCAATTACCTTTTAGCTGAAGCTATCGGGTTGGAAGACAGATCGTCTACTTTCTCCGTCAGTTTGTTGGAGAGCCAACTGGGTCTGCAGTCCCAGAGATGAGAAAATTGACTAAACCTCAGTGGTCACTAACCATAAAAGAGCAGCACAAGGAGGTACCCACTAATATAAACTGTTTCAAATTCAGCCACACTCTGTGGCATATTCACAATATTGGTTGATACTCCCTGCTTGTGAATGGTGCAAATCTGAAAAGTATTGTCAATATGCTGTTTATGGCCTTGATAGTTTTTAAACAGCACCATGCAAATCTGCTTGTGACCTTATAGCTTTTAATGAACCATATAAACCGCACTCATATGATTATGCTTTCTGATATTCTGCCACTGGATTCATTCTGACTTTATAGTTTATGATGAACCTTATAAACAGCACTCATTTGATTATGCTTTCTGATATTCTGCCACTGGATTCATTCTGACCTTATAGTTTTTAATCAACCTTATGAACAACACTAATTTGATTATGATATTTTGCCACTGGATTCATTCTGACCTTATAGTTTATAATGAACCTTATGAACCGCACTCATTTGATTATGCTTTCTGATATTCTGCCACTGGATTCATTTGACCTTATAGTCTTTAATCAACCCTATGAACTACACTCATTTGATTATGATATTCTGCCACTGGATTCATTCTGACCTTATAGTGTATAGTGAACCTTATGAACAACACTCATTTGATTATGCTTTCTGATATTCTGCCACCGGTTGTTTCTTTTTTATAAAACTTGGCTGCAAACTTTTGATGAGTATGCATTAATTCTTCTTGCAATTATGCATTTAAGCTTGCAGTTAAATATAAAACAGGTTAGGAGCTCTCTCTAAGAAGATAAACTCGTTCAAAGTGCTGGGGGCAGTCTCAAGAGCTGATCAATATTCCTACAGAAAATCACGCTTACATTTATGCTCAATCCTGTAGTATTAGAAAACCATGACCAATTTTTATATTCAAGAGTGGCTATCTTTTCCATTTTTACTCATTTCTTTTCGAGTCTGCAGCTTGAAACGGACCGATATTGTTGAACTATACTCATATTAGCCATAAATCAAATCTTTATGGATCATAATAATTTGTGTTATTGTTCATTTTTAACCTAAGTTTTAAATAATTCAAACTTTATTGGGAATTCATATTACTCTTAATTTATAACCACGATCCTCTCGGTCTTTATTACAACCCATGTCAACAATGTGACATAGTATTTTCTTTTTTGACCCTAGTTTGAATGTATTCGATAAAATTGAAAATATTTAAGATAATAAAAGGGTAAACTTAAAATTTTTTAAAATTTACATTTTTTGTGATATTAACTCAATTTCAATATCTAGCCGACCTACGCATAGCTCAATAGATTAATGTATATTCTCGGGTGATCATTTTTGTTATTTAATATTTGATCATTTACAAATATAAGTGCTTTACTCTAAATTATCTTAAACTTTTTTCTCTAGTGAGAGAGTATTAAACAATTTGACATCATTTACTATTTTGATCGTTATCGGCCACTTTTAACCCATCAATTATTATGCGATGTCTCAATTTTACATATTAAATTCCAAAACAAATTTCATATATCATTTTAATGAAGAAACTCACAAATGTTATATATTTTTTAAAACAATTTCAAATCTAAAAGGGTTAAAATGAATTTTAGAGATATGGATATATTCAATTTCTTGTAGGGTATTTTGTATAATTTATGGTAAATGAAAAATAAAATAAATAAAGGAAATTAAAATTAGAATAAAAAAAATTCAAATTAGGAAAAGAGAGGAGGGGAGAAAAGTTAATTTGATCCACAAATTTGGAAATTAAAAAAAAAATAATAATAATAACTGAAAAAAAAAATGGAATTGAAAGGGCATACCGCCAACTTCGCGGTTTTCCCTTTGCTACAGCCACAACCAAAACTCTCAAACTGATCCAACGGTTCAGATTCAGTCTTCTTCCTTCTCTGTCCTCCATTGCCAGAACCTCCATTTTCTCCCGCACCTTAACTTCCCCTTCCCCTCCTCCCTCTCTTCCTCTCTCTATTCTCTTCTTCTTCCCTTTGTCTCTGCTTCTCTCTGTTGTTTTTCGCATTTTTTGTTCCGTTCTTTTCCGCTCTCTCAAACCATGTCTTCCGCCGAGAAGGAGAGAGAGACTCAGGTCTACATGGCCAAGCTTGCCGAGCAGGCCGAGCGCTATGACGGTACGCTCCATCACTTTGTGCTTCTTCTTCTTCCTTTTTTCTCTGATTTTTGTTGTATTGTTATTTTCCTTCCATTGAGGTGCGATTTTATGATGATATTGTTAATGATCTGTTGTTTTGTTCCGGATTATGATCTGTGTTGGCAAGTGTGGACGACGGGAGGTTGTTGATTTTCTTTTCTGGATTCTTTGTTTTGCTGGCGAGTTTTTTTTTTTGGCTTTTTGGCTTTTTGGCTTTTGCCGTTGCTTTTCATGTCGCATTTGTAGTTGAAATGCTGATTCATTTCTACCTCTTGCTTGCGTTTGAGAAATGGAAGTTATCAATTATTGGATCTTACTGTAGCCTTCGCGATCGCTGTGTTAGATGCTTGATATTAGCTTAATGCCTCGTTGTTTTCTTGAATAATTGGAGGATGTTTTCATGTCTGTGAGGTGAAAGCTTTTCTTTACGGAGTTTGATCGATCCAATGATGCAGAAATGGTTGAGTATATGAAGAATATTGCAAAGCTTGACCTCGAACTAACTGTAGAGGAGAGGAACCTTCTTTCTGTGGGGTACAAAAATGTGATAGGTGCACGACGAGCCTCTTGGCGCATCATGTCTTCAATTGAGCAGAAAGAGGAGTCTAAGGGGAATGAGAACATTGTAAAATTGATAAAGAGTTACCGCCAGAAAGTTGAGGAGGAACTTTCAAAGATTTGTGGTGATATTCTCTCTATCATAGACAAGCATCTAATCCCTCATTCGTCTGCTGCAGAAGCCACTGTCTTCTACTACAAGATGTGAGTTGTTTTGTTACAACCAATCTCAATTTTGATGATCTGCGTACCTTTCTTCATTGGATAAGTAATTTATATATTTGAAATCTGGGAAGAAACAAAGAAAGGCTTGTTCTTATAATTCTAATCCAAATGGTGCAGATCTTTTACTGATGAACTTCTGTTTTCTGTGTTTCGTTTTTGAATATCGGTGACCTTTGATTCCACCCGGTACACCACGCATAGACTCACACGCCCCAATGTTAGGGATATATGTTCTATTCATTCTCAAAATCTATCAGATAGGCCATAGATTGGTTGATAATGAATATGGCTTGATCTAGTTGTTTTCTTGTTCATCATTTTTCTCTAGCATGTCTGTTTTGAACAATTGGGTCATAATGTGCTTTAGCCAATTTGAGTATATGCTGTAGTTACTGTCATGGCATCCATGATTTCAGGAAAGGTGATTACTATCGTTATCTTGCTGAGTTCAAGACAGATCAAGATAGAAAAGAGGCTGCTGATCAGTCGTTGAAGGGATATGAGGCATTTATTTTCTTTACATCATTCAAGTTTCACATTAGAAATACATAAGAACAATGGTTTAATATCTTTTAGCTAAATACTCTTCAATTATTTGAGGTCCTGTTCCCATTTTTGTAACAGGCTGCCTCAGGCACTGCGAATACCGAACTCCCATCGACCCACCCAATCCGTCTTGGTCTTGCTCTCAACTTTTCTGTCTTCTACTATGAGATTATGAATTCTCCTGAGAGGTATTATTAAGCCTAGTTTTCAATTCTCATACCACCATTGTTAGTAAACCTTTACCCTTGTAATGTAATGCCTTTCTTTTTTTTTTGTTTTGCAGAGCTTGCCATTTGGCTAAACAAGCTTTTGATGAGGCAATTGCAGAGTTGGATACCTTGAGTGAGGAATCGTACAAGGACAGCACTCTGATCATGCAGCTGTTGAGAGACAACCTCACACTCTGGACCTCAGATTTGCCTGAAGATGGCGGTATATCTCATAATTTATACTCAAGAACGTCTTATTGCATGTCCATTTACATAATCATATACCTCAGAATCTACCATCACCACTTAAATGACCTGTCTTGTTTGATAACGATTTCATTTTTAGTTTAATCTTTTCGAAATTTATGTTAGGTTCCTCTCAATTTTCTTACTTCAGTTTTTATGCTTGGTTCCTCCTGATTTTGGTTTTCTAAACCGTATTTAAATTTCTAGACAAGTTCCAAAAACACAAACAAGTTTTTAAAAACGTTAAACATTTGTAGAAAGTGGATACAAAACAAAGAACAACTTATAGACGGAAGTAGTATTTATAAACTCAATTTTCAAAAATCAAATAGTTTCAAAAATCAAATAGTTATTTAAGAACGCCGAACTCCTACTTCTTGTTCTACTTCTCGTTCTCGCATATACTTGTAGTACTTCTCGTTCTCGCATATACTTGTAGTACTTCTCGTTCTCGCATATACTTGTAGTACTTCTCGTTCTCGCATATACTTGTAGTACTTCTCGTTCTCACATATACTTGTAGTACTTCTCGTTCTCACATATACTTGTAGTACTTCTCGTTCTCACATATACTTGTAGTACTTCTCGTTCTCACATATACTTGTAGTACTTCTCGTTCTCACATATTTACCGATTTATGAACCGACTGATTGATCAGGTGAGGAAAACTTCAAAGCTGAGGACTCCAAACCTGTTGAGCCTGAGGTAAGACAAATTCAAGCCCTCTTCCCTTTCAATCTCAAATTCATGATAATAGAGGTTTAAAGCAAGTAATTGATGAGTAGGCCGCCCAGCAAGCGAAATGAGAAAGCGAGCCCCTCCGCAGCTCATCTAGAGACCGGACTTGTTGCCCTAAGAGAATCTAAAGATAGCCCTTCTACAGTGTTGTGGGATTTGTGGAGTGCACAATAAAATTTAGTTGCGGCGTTTTGAACCATTTGGTCCAACAACTAAAAGCTAGCTAGAAGGAAAGCTGGAGTTTTTTGTTTGCCAAGCTTTTGTTTCAACTTTAAATTCATCTCTTTCCACTCGTTTCATGTTTTTGCTCATTCCTATAACTAAGTGTAGCTTTGAATCATAACATCATATCTATTATTACTATTATTATTATTATTCTTGTTATTGTTTTCATTGTTTGTAATACACTTTTATGATAGTATCCATACAATATATCCTCAAAATTATTTCTTTTCTTCATTTTACTTCTAATCCCATATTTATTATATATGCTACTAACAATTTGTCATCTTTAATGTTTTAAAAATAATTGAAATCAAATCAAAATTGTATTTGGAATCTCTTATCTACATGTTTGTGACGAAAGCATTCTTCGTGGATGAAATGAAAAGTAGAACGCCGTGGCCAGGGATCGAACTTGGGTCACTCGGGTGATAGGCAGGAATACTCACCACTATACTACAACGACATTGTTGTGATGGAAAAATCACTCGTAAAAATAATTGAATGGAAAATCTCTGATCTACATGTTTGTGTCTAAAGCATTTTCAGTGGATGAAACGAAAAGTAAAACGCCATTGTCGGGGATCGAACCCGGGTCACCCACATGACACGCGGGAATACTCACCACTATACTACAACAACATTGTTGTGAAGGGAAAATCTAGATACTCGTAAAAATAATTGAATCAATCAAAATTTCATTGGAAAATCTCTTATCTACATGTTTGTGTGCAAAGCCATTTTCAGTGAATGAAACGAAAAGTAAAGCACTGTTGCCGGGGATCGAACCTGGCTCACCCGTATGACAGGCGGGAATAAAGCAGGCAATAAACTCCCCATTTTTCTGCTCTTTAATTTAAGAAAAGTTTGAAGAATTTTATGAGTAGCCATAGAGCACAGTGAAAGAGAAAGTAATGCATTTCATGTAAGAAAGATCCTTGACAGACACAGACAGCTTCACAACAGCTTTTCATGAATCCAAAATAAAAATTGATTGAATAAAACCCCCAACACAAACACAGCAGAAACCACAAGCATCTACACATTGTAAAGCATATCGTCCTGCCATAGTATCATTTCAGATGGAAAAAACATTGCCCCTTCAACATCATATAAAAATTCACATAATATGGATAGTCTTCAAATAGCTCTATTCAGTTTTGATTTTTGCAGGTTTCATTTTCCACCAGCACCACCAAACAGGTAATCCAGAGACGATCCACCGCCCGGGGCGGCATGGACCTTGGTTGATGGTCGATCCTGCACCCACAAGCAAATCTAATCAATCACTATAATCCCCTTTTTGTTATACCAGATCAAGGTAACAAAGCTTGGTTCCTCTCATGGTGCCATTTTCGCAAAAGATTAGTTACAGCCCTCATTTGCGCCTGTCAATCGGGTGCTTTAGGATAATTATTCCTCGGTGGAGTTATAAGACCTCATATATGTAAACACGTTAAAGAGATGTGAACATCTTCGATTACAAGTCACAGAGATAAGTCACTGCTATGAGGGCCAATGTCTTCAACAATTCAAAGATGGGATAGGAAAGTGGAAAATTTGAAACAGACAAGATAAATAGATGCTATTTGGGGGCAGGGGGCAGGGGTGGATTTGATGTAGTCATGTAAAAGTGGAACAAAATTACTTCTCTGGAGTCTGGAAATGATCAAAAACATGCTAGCAGTCAAATTAGGCTAGATAAATTGCTGAATAATCGTAATTGGCCATACCGTTATGAAATTGCCAGTGTTCTGACCGTCAGCCCTCAAATAGTTGTTTGAGGAGCTACTATGAATACCAGCCGGAATCTGCTTGGTAGCATCTGCAGGTGGTGAAGCAGTAGCAGCTGGTTTGGAGGCCGCTGGCTTGGATACAGCCTTTCCTTCATTTGAAGGTGGTGCTTGGCCACCTTTAGGTGCACCTGCATTGGGAGCTTCTCCACTGCCAAACAGGTACCCCAGTGAGCTCTGCCCCCCACCACTGCTAACTCCACGGCCCATGGCTCTTCGATTTCTTTCAAATGTCACAACTCAGAAGCTTGCCTTTCAACCAGAAGAAATGGAAAAAGGATAATAACAAAGGTCAGAACATAAATGGGCGAAAATCCATGGCAGAAGGATCTCAAAGGCCTGCTTACAACTCCATATATTGCATATATTCTTATTGAGTATCGTGTTCTAGAGAGATAAGGTTAAGAGCAATAGATCTCCAAATTAAATGTTGATCCTAGTCAGTGTAATAGGTTGAGTTGATACTAACGCAACCAAAACATTAAAACGCGCAACATAAGACATGAAGCCATTAGCTAGCACCAATTCCAAAACACGACTACCATTTGTTAGTCTACTACAGTGATTATTCTATTAATTGACGAAGACTTGCACAGGAACGCAAGAGGAATATTCCAGCTGACATCTACCCTAAAAACCCAACTCAAAATCTGATACATTTCGCCTAAAAGTAAGAAACAGTTAAAATGTAGACATATTCCGTAGATCCTGTAATAACCTTTGGAAACATCAAGAAACAACACAAGCACGCTCATGAATTAACAAAATCAAACGTGCCAGACAAACTGTTTAGTAATGATGCATAACCAAGATCTGATAATTGCAGCAATCGAGAAGTAGAGAGTTAGGCGAACAGAACTAGGGGAAATTCCCGACCGACAAACACCACAATACCTCGATCTCAAATTAAAAGCAAAGAGAACAGTTCTAAATCCAGAGAACCAACCAGATCTAGACAAGGAATGCAAGAGAAACTCAATAAAAAAAAAATCATACATCGCTAAGTAATCAAGCATAAGCACGCCAAAACAATCACGCATTGAGATAAAATCCTTGGTTCAATGACAACGAAAAGCATGAATTCGGTAACTGAAATGCGCGATGAGAAAGCACGAATCTGAAGGTAGAAGAGAAGATCTAAGACGAAGGCTTTGAATTCAGTGCAAACCTTCCGGCGACGATCGGATCTGAGGCGAACTTCAGAGTTCAGAGGGAACGAAGAGATGAATGGGCTGGTGTACTCGTACCTTGCACGCAGTCTGGAAGATACTCGTGAAATTATTTATTTATTACACGAAGAATTTTTAAATTAATAAATTACTAAAATAAAAAATACTCGCTATTTTTCCTTTTTATTTTATTTTTTATTTTTTTATTTTTAGTTTTAACTATTTTAAAATTATCATTAGCAAAATGAGGTCAGAGAAAACGTTCATTACTTTATTTAATAAAGATAAATAAACTAAATATAATATTTAGCTGAAAATAATTTTCTATAAATTAGTATTATTGAAAAAAATAGTATCAATGTCATGCAAATAAAGTTAACAAGCACCTTCTGACACTCAAGTTAGAATCAAGTTTGCTTTTATATAAAATGTTTTTTTTGTAACAAAAAAACATGTCGTATCTCTAGTGTCCTTAGGTCGGACCATGATTGAAGTGACTACTTAATCACGGTCTTAACGAACCCAAGACTTAGCTTTGGGAGACCTCAAATGTCCCGAAACTCGAGACTCGTTCATATTATGTAAAAACCTACTAATGATGACCTCAACACATTTTTCACTATAATTAATCGTTCTAGTTGATTATAAGAGCTTTAACACTAGGGTTTTAACCCATCTCAACTTCGACCACCAAAATTACGAACTCTTAAACTAGCTATTCACAACCTTGCTAAACGGCTCGTTCGAGCCATGCATGGATTGGTCCAATGGGTCATGGGTTGGCTAGGTTTGACCTCATTTAATTCATCGGGTCTTTCGACCACCTATAATGAAGACAACGTGAATCTTTTAAAAGTAATTTTGAAACATTTAAATCAAAATAGTTTGGAATATAACAGCAAACAATCTTCTAAGCTTGAAATTATACTGAAAGGGAAAATAATTAGCAAAAGACTCATCAAAACAACTGCATCCCAAATGTGTTTCCCTGGTTCCTTACAAAGCCTACTTCTGAGCAGGGCCACCAGGGTTGAGCTCGTCCCAGGCTTCAATCCAAGTGACCATTGATTCCGAGAGCTTAACGAAGTAAGGATCGATGGGGCCGAGTTTCTCCTTCACTAGCTTCGACAACTCGACGTAGCATTTCTGAACCGTCGTGCAATCTTTCGGGAGAACGACCGACTGGAAGAACGGGATCAGGTCTTCTTGCCAGAAGATCCCTTTGTACTCCTTTTTGAGGTTCACAAATGGGTTGCTGGCTTTGCTGTGCCATATGTAAGGCAGCCCTGTCTTCACTCCCCACCCCAAATGGTCACAAATCACCTGCAACAAGTTCATCAACCAATACTTTAGCTCTGCATTTGGCTAAAGATCACAGAAAAGGATCACGTTTTGGCTATACCTTCACACACCACCCGGCCCACATATCGTCGTAACGTCCAATCGGCTGCCCATCACCCATGAGTCCGAAATACATAGCTGGTCCGATCAATTCACGGTTGAATGCGAGATTCATTCCACACATGGGAAACAAGGTTCCCTTGGGAATTGTCAACACTGCATCTACATACCTAAACAAGATATACAAAGAACATCTCAACAAAGCTAATGACTATGGAACTTCTCTATGTTCGAGTAAACTAATCGAGACACGATAGCAATCCACACACACCTAGAGTTCCTTTCACGAGGCTTAACGAGCTGGGTAGGAGCATCATAGTCAGGAATGTTAAGCCAAAGTCCATGAGAAACCGCGGTCGAGACACCCTCGCGGAGACTGAAAGGGTATCCACGGACAAAGTCTGCACCTTCTCTGTACGGATCATACAGAGTATTGAAGAAATGTGGAGTGGCTGGTGATAGAAGGTTCTTTATGTGCTGCTCGAGTGCGTTGATATCTTTGTTCGAGGGGTCCTTCGCAACCTGCAATGGCAGATTTACAAGAAACCATCAAATCTTGATCATACTTTAACCCTTTAGATCAAGACAGTAAGCAGAATATGTTTGTAAAGATGCAAACAAATCGCTTCTTTCCCATTTTCTCAGTCGGTAACAAGGTTCTTCTTACCGCTCAAGCCCAAGCTCAAGTCCACTGTTAGCAGATATTGTCCGCTTTAGTTCGTTACGCATCGCCGTCATTCTCACGGTTTTAAAACGTGTCTACTAGGGAGAGGTTTCCACACTTTTAATAAGAAGTGCTTCATTCCCTTCTCCAATCGATGTGGGATCTCACAATCCACCCTCCTTGGGGCCAGCGTCCTTGCCAGCACACTGCTCGGTGTCTAGCTCTCATACCATTTATAATGGTCCATGTTCACCGCTAACAGATATTGTCTACTTTGGCCTATTACGTATTGCCGTCAACCTCACGGTTTTAAAACACATCTGCTATGGAGAGGTTTCCACACCCTTATAAGAGTGCTTCTTTCCCTTCTCCAACCAATGTGGGATCTCACAATCCACCCCCTTAGGGCCCAACGTCCTCGCTGGCACACCACTCGATATCTAACTCTGATACCATTTGTAACAGCCCAAACCCACCCTAGCAGATATACCCACCGCTAGTAGTCCACTTTGGCTTGTATCGCTGTCAGCCTCACGGTTTTAAAACACTTCTACTATGGAGAGGTTTCAACACCCTTAATAAAGAATGCTTCGTTCTCCACTCCAACTGATGTGAGATCTCACAGTTCTCAACTACATTTCATCAGTAACACCATCATATGTGATAGCCGTCTGGGATTCATTCAAAGAAAGCTACAATTATCTATATAACAAAAGAACTGTTTCAAACAAACAAGCATTTCCACAAGATCTGTTCCTCCGCTAGCATATATAAATCCAATAACTATTCATAACTTGCAAGACAGAGGATGGAATTAACCACAGAAGCCATCAATCGTTAAGGTGTTCTATCTAGAAAGCAAATAGCATAATCTTTAAGAAGAACGAAAAGAAAAACCAGCATTGATCCATTTCAAACAGCAACCAGATTAAGAACTCAGAACAACAAAATCAATCAGAAGAAGAAAAAAAAACAAGCTAAAAAACAATTTCAGCCCAAAAAAACGAACAAACAAGCAGATCTACAAAACACTGAGCATCCGATCAACACAGAGAACACGTAATCGAAGAAATCAAGCAAACCAAAACTCAAAAACGAAAGCGAACAAGCAAAATCAAGTAGATCTTACAAAGCAATCATCATCAATTGTGAAGATATACTTCTTCTTGGAAACCATATAGCCGAAGCATCGGCAAGCAGAATCCTTAAAGGAAATGCAAGACGCCTTCGGACCAAGAATCCGATTGATATCATTCCGATTATAGAGTTCATAATCGAATCCTTCAGGAACCTTAATCGTCTTCGATGGGTCACCATCTTGAACAATGATCAAATGGTATTGCTCAAAAAATGGCCTCCACATCTCCAAGAAATCCAGGTTTCGAATCGTAGGGATGACGATATCGAGTTCATCTTTCAGAAGAGGAGTGGGTTTGACCGAAGCTTCCGCCATTGTTAACCAATTGACAGAGTTGCAGAAGCTTCAATCAGAGAAAGAAGGACTCGGGTTAGACTTGGAGCGAAGATACTGGAGACGACGATTATATATATATATACAGAAAAAATGGGAATTTGTTCGGAGTAAATCTGAGATTCTTCATGGGTGATTTGGTCAATTGGACTTCCGGATCTGGATTTGTCAAATTTATTAATTTATTAAATTATTTATTTATTTATTTATTTTCAATTAAAGTAATTAAACCAAATAAAATTAATTTGGGACATAAGAGTGGAGTTACGTTATTTCCATTTAAATAGAAATTTGTTCAAAAATGCATTTTTAAATAGAAATTTGTTCAAAAATGGATTTAATGCTCCCATGGAATGTTATAAACCTGCCCTAACCTATAATTCGTAAATAAAATATTAATTATTATTTTTAAATATCAATATTTCAATGTCTCACTTCTGCCACGATTGTACTGAAAAAAATAAACATTAAATTTATCTGTTTGAGCTTTGCTTTAACGAATACAGTTTTAGTCTGAAACTTCTAAAAATTGACTATTTAAATTTTTATATCGTGAAGGTTGGACACGACTTAATTGGTTAATATATTAATTATCAATTTAATGATATATTAAAAAGGATTTGATTATTTTTTTTATATATAAATATATATATCGTAGTTGGTATTAGGGTCTTATATAGTTGACGAAAACAGGATAGCTACCTAATATAATCGAAAGGAATTAAAATATTTATTATTAATTTAAATACGAAGAAACGTGCAAATTCAAAGACCAAAATGGAGAAAATAACAATAATAAAATTTATAATGGAAATGACGTAAAGAAATGGGTGTGTGGAAGTCAACTATGTTGACTATTCGCAGACATTTAAAACTGCCATAATAAATAATTTTAAAAAAATTAAAAAAAGAAAAAAGAAACAGCTAATTACCCATGTGCCCTTCGAGGCGCCAACTTTCCTTCCACCTTTTACGTTTTTCTTTATTCTTTTCCAAAAATGCCCTTCCCCAATCCCATAATTACCCATGTGCCCCTCCGCCCTTTTCTTTATTCATTTAATTATATTTCACATTTGTTTTTATTGATTGTAATTATAAATTTAATCATTTAACTTCTTTAATTTTTTTTAAAGTTTAAAAGAGGTGTAATTTAAGGTAATATTAATTATATTGTGACTTTTTAATCTTTTATGTTTTTTTTTAAATTATATAATTTTTAAAATGAACCGCTCATATAAAAAGTTTATTGAGACATGGTTAATTTATTTGCACTTCAGATCCCGAAAAAAAGAGTACATGTTAATTATCGTTGAATTATGTTCATGTTGACCTCCTAAATTTTAAATTCCAACATAAAAAAATACAGCAAAAATATCTATTATTTTAGATAATTTTATAAAATACCCGTGAACTTTGCGTAATTAATTGTATTATTGAATTTTTTTAAAAAAAATTCAATGATGAATTTTTATTTTTTTAAATATTAATATTTATTAAAAGTTTGAGGAATATAATATTTTCAGAAAAAAAAGGGAAATTTTACCCATTAGGAAAGTTTAAATTGGGCCAGACTCCAGATTCGGCCCAATGGGGC